AGAAAGTAGAATGGCGATTACCAGGGGCTGGGGGTGGGTAGGAAGGTAATGGGTGTTGTTATTTAATGGCATAGAGTTTCAGTTTTACAAGATGAAACGTTCTGTAAATTTTTGCCACAAAAATGTGAATCTATTGACACACAGAATTAAAAAATTGGTCACATGGTGATATTTATGTATATTTTTATCACAATTCGCCAAAAATCTCCAGCCCAGAGCTGGCCAGACCCCTCTAGATGGTGTTGAAGTCTAAATGCAGAATATGCTGGGCTATTATTTTTCCTTGACTGCCACTCCTTACATTCCTCAGACTGTGAGCCCTGCCCTTCTAGTAGCCGCATTACATTACCTGTGTGGTCTATTGAAAAATCCAACACCCGCCAATGTCAATCTTCTCGTTCCAATGAATTTCTGCCAAACTATCCTCAAATGAGAATAAATTAACTTCTCTAGTTTCATCTGGCTTTTAAGAAATATTATCACTGCAGTGGAAGGAAATAACATCTTTGTGGAAATTAAACCTTTCCTTCTTATAGTCATTCTAAAGTTTTTCTATGTCTGTAGCCTTCCTTCCAAAGCAAATAAGTGATACCTCTTGATGATTGTCTCCTGAAATTAATTATCTTGAATGATTCCTATGTTTCTGTGGTGATAAATCTCATGTATGATATCAGTTAGAACCATGTTGTTGATGCAGCGTACTAAGAGGTACTAACGGATCTATAGAGAATGATTTAGTGTGGATACTGTGTACCAATTATGTCTCGTGCTGAAGCTAATATTTTCTTCATTGTAGTCACTCTTAAGTGCTCTTAGACTATAAAGCAATTAATAAAAAAGCAATCTATTTATCTGCCTCAATGGGAATGAATTCAAACCGATATAGCATTGCTATATGATATCACTTTTGTGTTCTTAATAACTTCTAATTTTAGAGGAAGACTAGTCAGTACAGAAACCACCTGACTTGAGAACAAAGTGTCACAATAATACAACCACAGTTTCTATATATTTATTTGGGACCATTAACTGAACATGACATACTGTAATCAAAGCTCTATTACTTTCATGTCATTGCGCAGGTGAACTCACCTTTCCTTTGGACTTCACATCTTTGATGTAATCGTGAAAATTTGAATTTTTCTCGATAACTAAATACGATTTACTTTCTCTCTTTTCTGCAAGTCCAGCTGACTTAGTTTTATCTTATGTTTTTACTTTATGTGAGATCTGGATGGCATGCGTCTTGGAAAAGCTGAGTGCAAATGATGGATGAAAGGTATCTCCAGAGAAAACTTGTATTGTGGTGGTGTTTCCTTAATATTACTACCGCTTCTGGTGAAGTGTAATATTTCCAGAGACCTTTCAGGATGATGAAAAGCTTGTAAGGCTCAGTCATATTTTCTAATTATTAGATAAATGTTAAGTTGCTATTTTAATCAGCTCGACTGTTACAAATGGAACCAATTTGGGTTAATAAATAAAATTTTCTTACTCCAGAAGCTTATCGTAGTAGGTTAAGTCCATTCAAGTGCCTATTCCAATAACAGACGACTTCACTGTATCTAGGGCCACATAAAAGGGAGGAATTTAGTTGATATCATTTACGATGTCTGTTGGTTGAGAAGCCTCTATATTTATAGATTTAGCAATGGCTTACACCCAGCTTTGTTTTTTTTTAGACGGAGTCTCGCTCTGTCGCCAGGCTAGAGTGCAGTGGCATGATCTCAGCTCCCTGCAACCTCCTCCTCCCAGGTTGAAGCGATTCTCCTGCCTCAGCCTCCCAAGTAGCTGGGACTACAGGTATGCGCCACCACGCCCAGCTAACTTTTGCATTTGTAGTAGAGATGGGGTTTCACCATGTTGTCCAGGATGGTCTCAATCTCTTGACCTCGTGATCCACTCGCCTCGGCCTCCCAAAGTGCTGGGATTACAGGCGCGACCCACAGCGCAAGGCCCATTTTACTTTTAAACCGTTATTCAGCACCCAAACTCAGGGATACATGGAAGTATAAATTATAACAGGACAGATAAGTGGGGAGACTGATGTTGATGGAAACTTCAGTGAGAAAAGTGTAGATAGGATTACAGTTGACAACTGGATGCCTTGCATTTAGGATAATTGGGAGAAGGGAGGCTGGGACACATTGAAACACCCAGGTTCTTGCTGCCTACCCCACTTGCTAACATGACCAGTCGTAAACCTGCTCTGTTCTTAGAAACCTCCCTTCCAAAACGTGGATTCTCTCGCCAGTGCTCAAGATGGGACACATTAACACTAAGTAAGCACTTTTCTTAGGAGCATTTCTTAGGCTGTTAAAATGCCAAGACTCCTAACCATCCTTGGTAGCTTTGACCCTATGTAAAGAGGTCAGTTAGCTGCCCTAGTTTATTCCTCAGAATGATGAGATCTGGCACTGAAAATGTTGTTCATACTGAGCCTCCCATCAAATGCAATAAGTAGATAACCACAAACACCCACCCTTTTATGCTCATAACTCAGCATGTTGGAAACTATTTTCCCTTGACCTATTGCCAGCCCATCACGCCCCATACTCAGGAGAACTCAAGTCCCAAACCGGCCGCTGAACAGTCACGCTTTTCTGCAGGACATACCCAATGTTAGGGCCAAAACTTTGTCCACCCTTCAAAGGAAGTCGATGTTTCCATATAAAGGCCCCCTCAAATGCAACAGCAAGCCCGTTGGGAGAGGGGTTGGCAGAGGCTACGGGCAGCCCATGGGCTTTCTTCGACCTTGATTATGACCGGGAGTGTAGATGTTAATTGCCAGGCTTGCCTCAAGGTGGAAAACAGTATCGGTTTCCACTGCCACCCCAGAGAAGGCAAGTTCCGCGGCTGGCGGTGGTGGGGACACGGTCCCTTCCAGGCCCCTTGCCACCCAGAGAGCAGCTCGGAGGCCGCCTACAGGTGCAATACCGGCACTGCGGCCGGGGCGGCGGGCCGGGGAGGGCTTCCAAGCCCACCAGCATCTCCGCCGGCCCTTCCCAAAGCCTGAACACGGCCCCGGCGTGCCCACCGCCTTCTACCCCCGGTTTCCCTGCGCCTCTGCCCCGGCGCGGTTTGGAAAGGAAGCTGGGAGCCCTCCCAGGCTCCGCAGACTCGGATTTGGGAGGGAGTGGGGCGCGGCCGAGGCTTCCCCTCGAATCTGCGGCAAGCCTGGCTCCAGGAAAGTTTTTCAAAGTTCCCAGCAGCGTCTGCCCAGGTCGCCTCCGCGGGGCGAGCAGACGGCGGCAAGCGCGCCAGCCTCGCCGCCGCCTCTGCCGCCAGCAGAGCGCTCTGGGCGGCTCGCTCGCGGGAAGCGGGCCGAACTCCCGGCGGGCAGGCAGGCCCTCCTCCCGGGGCGAAAGCCGCAGCTGACGCAGGCGGCTCGGAAGGCGGAAGCTGCCCCGCTCCGACCGCTCCGCCAGCGCCGCGGCGCCTACACCTGGGGCCCCGACGCGCGGGCAAAGGCTCCCGGTCCCGGGCGCCCGAGGGGGCGGTCCCCGCTGGGGGCCTCCAGGCGTCCCTAAGCAACCATCCCTTCCAAGTACCTCCCCGCACTCTCCCTTCCCTCCTGGCCCGAAGCTCCCGAGAACAGGGGTTGCTGTGGGGCCCCGGTATTTCTTTGCCGCCCTAAGCATCCCCGAGCCCCCAACCCTTTCCAAGTTCCTCCGCGCACTACCCCCTCCCCAGCAACGTGAAGGGGAGGGGCGTGTCCTGGGTGAGCACGCCCTCTCATGAATATTAATAAGCGCGCATGCGCCCTGCCCGGCGTGCTGGGTAGAGGTGGCCAGCCCGGGCCGCGGCTGCCAGACGGGCTCTCCGGGTCCCTCTCCGAGAGCCGGGCGGGCACGCGTCATTGTGTTACCTGCGGCCGGCCCGCGAGCTAGGCTGGGTTTTTTTTTTCTCCCCTCCCTCCCCCTTTTTCCATGCAGCTGATCTGAAAGGGAATAAAAGGCTGCGCATAATCATAATAATAAAAGAAGGGGAGCGCGAGAGAAGGAAAGAAAGCCGGGAGGTGGAAGAGGAGGGGGAGCGTCTCAAAGAAGCGATCAGAATAATAAAAGGAGGCCGGGCTCTTTGCCTTCTGGAAAGGGCCGCTCTTGAAAGGGCTTTTGAAAAGTGGTGTTGTTTTCCAGTCGTGCATGCTCCAATCGGCGGAGTATATTAGAGCCGGGACGCGGCGGCCGCAGGGGCAGCGGCGACTGCAGCACCGGCGGCAGCACCAGCGCGAACAGCAGCGGCGGCGTCCCGAGTGCCCGCGGCGCGCGGCGCAGCGATGCGGTCCCCACGGACGCGCGGCCGGCCCGGGCGCCCCCTAAGCCTCCTGCTCGCCCTGCTCTGTGCCCTGCGAGCCAAGGTAGGAGCCCCTCTCCGGGCCTCGCTCCCAGCCATCCTTTCCCTCCCCTCGCGGCGCCCTGGGCGGTTGAGCCCCGCGAGCAGGCTCGGCAGCCCTCGAGCGCCCGACTCGCCCCTGCGCCGGAGCGGCTGCACCTGGGCTGAGCGCGCCAACTCCCGGGAGCCCCGGCCTCCTGAGGGTGACCCCTCCAGGCCGGGCAGGGGCGCGTTCGCTCCGCTCCTGCCCCCCGGGCAGTCGTCGTCGTCGGATTTCTTCCGCACTCGTGCATTTTTTTTTTTTTTTTTGCCCCGGAATCATGTTGAGTCCTTGAACCTAGTTTTGCAAAATTATTTTCACTCGGCGCGGAGGGCTCGTCGGGGCGGGGAGTGGGAGGGAGTCGCCACCTCTATACTCGAAGAAAACAGCTTTCTCCGGCGCTGACCTTCCTCCTTCCCTCGCCGGCAGGTGTGTGGGGCCTCGGGTCAGTTCGAGTTGGAGATCCTGTCCATGCAGAACGTGAACGGGGAGCTGCAGAACGGGAACTGCTGCGGCGGCGCCCGGAACCCGGGAGACCGCAAGTGCACCCGCGACGAGTGTGACACATACTTCAAAGTGTGCCTCAAGGAGTATCAGTCCCGCGTCACGGCCGGGGGACCCTGCAGCTTCGGCTCAGGGTCCACGCCTGTCATCGGGGGCAACACCTTCAACCTCAAGGCCAGCCGCGGCAACGACCGCAACCGCATCGTGCTGCCTTTCAGTTTCGCCTGGCCGGTGAGTGACGACTCGGGAAGGAGGCCAGGCGGAGACTCACACCCGCGCCTGGCCGAGCTCTGCTATTCCCCTGCTAGAGGGATTTAAAGCGCTTTGGCTTGAAACTCGGCGCTAACGGGGGAAATCTCTAGGGGTGGCGGTTGGAGGAGCCGGGACACTATAGTTAGATCTCGACTGGGGTAGTCGAGATGGGTCCCAGTCCTGCTGCTGTTTGCTTAGTGCACAAAAGTGGGGATCCCAGAGGGGTTATGGGACCAGGCTCCTAGGAAGGCCGGTGTAAACTTGCAACTTGAAGTTCCCGGAGTAACCCTCCCGGCCCCAAGCCAAGAGGTCGTTGTAGCTGATCTCTTTTCTTAACTAATTAAACCTGGTGCGCGGTGGAAGGCGACTCGGCGCAGTTCTGGCCTGCGAACGCCGTCCAAATTGGCAACCTCCCCTTTCCCGTGAACGGCCGGGAGGGCGGGTGTGTCCTTCCTGGAGGGTGTGGGGGAGTCCGTTTCCCGCTGCTCCCCGGGAGATTTTAGTGTGTGCGGGGGCGCTCTCCGGGCTCGGCTCAGGGGCCGGGGGCGGCCGCCGCAGGAGGAGGTTCTTGGGGCCCTCACAGGAGCTGTAGACCCGGGAACCCCCGCCCGCTGCCGGCCTCTTCCTGCCCCCGCCCCCGAGTGGTGTAGCTCTTGTGGCCTCACTTCCAGCGGTTCCCGGGCTCTGGAACAGCTGTGTTTGCAGACTTCCCCGGGAAGGGCGGGTGCACGGCCCCCGCAAGCCTTCGGGGGCCGTGCCAAGGCCTGGAAGGGGTGGTCTTCTGGAGGTAGTGCCTGCGGGTGCAAGTGATAGACCCTCATCCTCCACCCCATTCCGCCCCCAAAGCAGCTCGAGGCCCCGGGCCCAGCTGGCAGATCCTGCAACGAGGCCCTTGCAACATCCCAAAATGGGTGGAAGGAAGATGGGTGCCATTGCAGAAGGGGAGGAAAGGGAAATGTTGGGGGTGTGCCCTCTGCCTGGCTCCCGCTGTCCAGGAGGCATGACTCATTGCCAAGACTGGGGTTTGGCCTAGCCTGTGCTGGGAGGGTGGGTGGTGAGAGGGGGAGCTCGGTGCCCCAGAGGATTGCTTACCACCACGTGCTCTAATGGGGTGCACTCTGCTGCCTCCTGTCCGCCAGCTTTGGCTGTGATTCTGGGAGGAGACGAGAGAGGGGAGAGTATCAGGCTGTGACTGTGTATGAAGCTTGGGGTGGCTCTTAAAATCCACGTTTACAGGAGCTGGCATTATAAGGTGCCCTCCGCTGTGGGTGAGATAAGACACTTACCAAAAACTGCCATGAAAAAGGGTTTATAAAAAAAAAAATTAAAACCAACACTACCGTATGTGAAGCTCTCTTGAGGTCCAAGGACTGCTTCTGTTGTGGGATTTCATTTTTACCAAGAGTATTTATCTTGTTTGTTAATCCCCTATTAGGGAGAACTTTAAGCTAAAGAGCCTGGCTACCTTTAAATCTGGCTGGGCCCAAGCTGACTGTGAATACTCAGTGCCCTTGAACGTGTGTTTGGAGTTTAGGGGGAAGGGGCCTGCAGGTGGTTCCACCCTCCTGCCGGAGGATCTGTCTGGAGCCCCTCGCTTTTCACAAGACCATAAAAGGAATCTTATTAGTGATGTGGAAAAGCAGCAGCCTGGCTGAGGCTCATTTTGGAGAGTAGGGTCAGAGGGATGGCTAGCATGAAAACAAGGAGGCTTGCTCTCTAGGCTGGCCAAGGAAAAGTGACCTAGAAGGTGCGTCTGTCCCCTTTTGACACTTGGTCAGCGAGTGCTCAATGGAAAAGGAGCGGAAATAGTGTGGGAGGGCAGGAGAAGCGATTGATTTGCATTTGCTGGTGCTCTTCTGTGGTTTCAGGCCCCACGGGTCACCAACCATGAAATAGACTCTCCGCTTTTCTCGAATGGGGGAAGACCGATGGGGCAACACTGAGAATGTGGTTCTTTTGAAGTTGGGACAAACACATGTATCACAAGTCTCCACCCTCATGCCCCAAAAAGGCCTGTGAAACATAAGCTTTACTTCTCAAGAGAAATTGGAGTTTAGGTGTGTTTGTTTTTCTGTATGTGGTTGGAGAAACGGCACAGTCCATAACTTTCAAGAATGATTCCAGGCTGAGTATAAACGTAAGTGAAACACTTAAGTAGCTGAGCAAGTATTTAAGTGGAGAGCACAGCTTCATTTAGTTTGGCAATTAACTATGTCTTTTAAAACTGATTTCTTTGAATAGGAAATAAATGAACTCAGTACAGAATTCAAGAGATAACAAGAAAAGGATATATGGTTAAAAACAAAGCAAAACTCCAAACCACTTTCGTCTCCCAACCCCTAGCAGGCACAATTACCATTTGCATGAGTCCTCCCAAATTTGCTGACGCTGAGTGTCAGCAAAGGGTGCAGGGGTAGGTCAGTGTAGAAGGTCATGTAATTCATGCCCTTTGTTTGGAATTATGACCCCTATCCAAGCAACTGTTCATGTTCTCGAGAGGACGAGGAGGAAATGATTTGGTCAGATATGATATACAGTCCACGTTCTGATGTGCATGTGAAAGGCTTTGTAGAGGCGGCCCTTCCTGCCATATATCATATCTAAGTATGTCCCACTTGGTGTCCACTGCCCCAGCTCTGGTCTTGGCGTAGCTTTTCACCACTGGCTTCTAATTCTCATACTGTTGCTGCTCCAAGGGGCTAAACTTGCAGCAACTATCTGGATTAATGATTCTTAAGTTGGGGACCAAGTGATAAGAACATTATTGTGGGAAGTAATTGGGCTTAACAGGAAGTAATTTAGGAATGACCACTTATAAATCACTGAAACGGTTAATTCGTACCTCCCAAAATTCGTGCTAAATCCCAGTAGTGCCTGCTTATTAAAAATGCATTAGTGTAATTACCACTACTCATCCCCAAAACCTTTTTGGGAACTTCAGAACCCCAGTTAGCTGTATTGCTACATTGGCCCCAGAGTGAAATGAATGTAGAGAAATGTTAGGGGAAGCAATTGGGGTATCTGGCTTATTAGCCTCACATTTAAATTCCATTGATCCTATTAAAAAACTTGCTGAGATCAACTTAATTGTTTTTTAGGAAAATCCAATGAAACATTCTTCTGTGTGAGGGATACCAGCTTTGGCCCCCTTCATACTTCAGGCCTGAATGACCAGTTGCCATGATGCTAATCACAGAATGTAATTGACAGGCCCTTACTTTTATGCCTTTTGCTGTCTTTCCCAGTCCCTGAGCTTCTCTAGATGTGGTGTGGGCACCTGGAGGGCGCAAGGATGGGGTTCTGATTTGACCAGCCTCCCTTCTGCAGCCAGGATTTGCATCCCGCCCAGGTGATCAGCATGTATACAAAGAAAGAGCACGTGTGTATGTATGTGCTCAGAGCAAGGGACTTTCTGCATGTGGAGAAATGCCTTTTGCCCTAAGAAGTCTACCTCAAACCAAAGGGATGAACTGATGTGTCTGTGTTGCAACACTGGGCTTGGGGAATAGTGAAATTGTGCTTGCTTGGAAAGAGCTGTGCTAAGTATCTGCAGAATAGCTGCTCCAAAAATGGAATCTTTATTCCAGGTACTTGGTTTCTAATATTTCTTTTTTCTCTTGCAGGTGTAACCTTCTGTGTTTTCTTCCGCCTTGTTGTCTTGTTTCTTAGCAACTTATTCAAACCTCCTGTACTTATATGAATTTGCAACCCACCAGTTCCACACCCATCATTCTATAGGGACTTAAGATGTTTTTAGAAAACAGTGAAACTTTTGGCGTGGAGGCTTTTGGGGGAGTTGAGTGGGTAAAAAGGAGAGTCAGCAGCAACTTACAGGCATGCAAGCTCCCAGAAAATCAGCAATCTAAATGCTGCTCAAAATCTTCACACCAAATAGTGGTGCCTTTGGAGACCTTTTAGATAGAAGGCATGTGGGAAGTTTAGCATGGAAAAAAAATTTACTTAAAAAAAAAAACAGTGTCAAGGCAACAAGGAGCCTTCAGAGTTCCTGATCTGAAAACAGGAATGTGAACAGAGGCCTTGGCTGGATTCATATCATCCACTGGCCCTATTGTAGATGGGCCAGAAGTTGGTCCCAATGTCCAGCTTTCAAGGTTAGTGACAGTGTAAGAATGCATGATCTCTGGATGTGCATACAATTAGCATTGTAATCCACAAATGCAAATGTTCCTGCAAATTCTTCCATGGCAAACTTCTGGAGGCATGTTGCTCTTCCACCTACCCCCATCCTTCAAGCCTCAGGATCTAGGCTGCTGAGAGAAGTGACTCTTGGCTTCAGCTTTTAAATACATACATATATATAATATATACAAACTTAGTCTTTTCTTCCAACTGTTGGAAGATACATTGGGATGAATGGAAAGTGGTGATTCTAGAATTGTGGAAATGGAGGAGGGTCCTGGGTTCAGAAAAATCCCAACTTTACTTTGGTGCATGGCACCGGCTGGCTGTGTTGTGACTTCTATGCTGATTTCCGATTACTGCGTGGACCACAGCAGCCCCATGGCTGCTGGTATTTTTTTTTTTTTTTTATGGTGCCAGTGACATCTATCATTGGGGCAGTGCGTGTGCTGGGAAGAAATTCCGCAAGGTGGCTCCCAGTAGTTAAAGGAGTACGTAAATAGTCAAACATGCAGAGTCCTCTACCAGCTCAACCCAGTTTTTATGCGCTTTTGGTAAATAAATAGAAAGGCTTCTTGTTCAGGCTTGCTCTGTGTGAACCAGACCGTTGTGCTTGGCTGGCTTCTCGGTATTCTATCTATTAACCTCGCCACCCTTTTGTAACTGGTGCATTTAATTATCAGTGGGATGCTTTTCAAACAGGTAAGGGTAATGATGGGAAAGGGGGTGGGGATGTCTCATTGAGAGTCTCAAATCTGGATATGAGCTTTGGGGCCCCTTGGTGAGCCTTTGAGGTGGGCTTTGATGAAAAAATCACCCTTTGTAACCAGATCGGACTCTATTGACATGTCAAGCCCTACAGACTTGATTGCTTTCTGTGTCTAAAGTCTTAGCCTAGATGCTATAGGATAGTTGTCCTTTCTTATCTCACCTTCCCGAAACCCACTGGCATGGTGTGCATGAGTACGTGTGAGTGTGCCCACGCATGGACTCCCTGCAACCTTTTCTGCTTAATATGTTTTGTGACTGGAATATTTTATACTCTGGCCACCCAGACACAGGCAGGACAATAGAGTTGGCCGAATTGACTGAAATGAGGATTATGGAGAATAATGGGGCCTCTCCAAAAATAATGCTAATACAGGACAAGCGACAGGAAGCAACAGTTGAGTCAGCAGAGCGCAGGGCCCCTGACGATCCCCGGGAGCCGACTGACTGTGCACAATGGCCGCGTTGGCACGTCGGGCATTCCCAGGATGTGCGTGCCGCCGGCGGGCCTGCCTGTCGCTGCAGCCTGGGGTTTTGGACGCCGCACGCGTGCCGTTTGGATGGCGGTTTATTTGTGTCCGTCAGCTTGGCAGGAGGGGAGGCAGCCGCTTCTCAGGGCTTGGTTTGGCTGTCACTGTTGCCAGGAAAAGGAAGCTCCCGGCTGCCAACACAATTACCTTTGTTTCTTACATCCCCCCTTCTTAATGTGGCAATTAAGTGCTTACCGCTCTGCCCAGTGCCAAGGTAACCGCCATGGAGTGGGACAGGGCAGAGAACACAACCTTGGCACAGCAGCCTAAGTGTGGAGGGCGGGAGGAGGTGCAGGGGCCGCAGCCTCGGCGGAGGGGGAGCCCGGTGGCCCTTGGATGCCCTGGGGCTTTGATGCCAGGACTCTCCTCTAGGTAGAATTCCACGGAAATCTTCCAAAAAACAATTCTGAAGGCTGACTGTTCCTCTTTGACGCCATACCAGAATGGGAACCAGCTGCCAGTTTGCCACATTTCCTTGGGTTTGGAGCTGGGAAGGGGCTGAGGTGACTCAGTTGCAAATCCAGACTGAAGATCTGTTTGCTACCCCTCCCTCCTGTGTGGCCCCCGCAGTATTGTTCTGGAAAACATAAGGAAAAAAGATGAAAGCCAGGTGACTCCTCAGCAGAATCTTAGTTCTGTAGTCTGAAACCAAGAAAAACCCAGGTATTTGCTTTTTTTGTTGCTGTTTTGCTGTATAAACAAGTTTGAACACTTGCCTTTCCAAGCCCTCCTGGGATGGAGGACTCAGCCTCTAGTGGGGGTCAGAGTTGCAGTGGCTGCTTGTATGTGACTTTGGCATAGTGGATTTGCTGCTCTGTGGCCTCGTCCCTGCTTTGACGGCATGAGGTGTATGTGCGTGGTCTGGGATCTCAGTGCCTGGGTGTATGTTCAGGGATGTACAGAGGTCAAGTGTGGGCCTGGGAAAAAGTCAAGTTCTCTAGCAACTAATAATCATTGTTAAATTATCTTGATTGCTGATCGATCTATAGTGTGGGGATGGAGTGGGAGGTTGAGTGCCTCCTAATAGGAGCCTTGGAGGGAATCCTTTTTCTCTGTAGGGCTGGGTAGGAGGAATCCTCCTGCCCCAGGAGATCCTAATCCCTTCCCTGAAACAGGCAGGAAAAAAAGTCCAGCCTTTGTTGCCGTCACTGTAGCTCCCTGCCTTCACCCTGTCTCTGCCTCTGAGAAAGAAGGCAGTTCATGGAAAATCACAGAGCCAGGCATGTAGGGCCATGTGCAATTCTTTTCTCTCCAGGTGGGGTGATGTTGGTCAGCAAACTGAAGTTTTCCCAGTTCTGGCGAGGATGAGCCTGGTAGACCGCTTGGTCTTCCAAGTTCTTGTGCAAGACCTAAGGATGCCTTCCTCCTTGAATATTAAACTGAGTTAGTACTGCCATGCCAGCTCAGTCCCGGCACCTTCCCTTGCAGTGGGATTTGTGGGTACTATGTGTTTAGCGCTTGTGCAAGTCTGTCAAAACTCCTGGTGTCAATGCATTTAATCAGAGGATTAATTACAACAATATTGTTGAAGTGGAGGATGTGGGCCCCAACGTGACCAGCAAATGAAGGGCTTAATTATACAGAATCAGCCACACATTTGGCCTCATTCTGACTGTGCTGTTACCTCAAATCAGCAGAGAGATATAATTTCTTGCTGCTCTTAGGGAAGAGTCCTGTAATTTGCAGGAAGTCCTAAGAAACTTAAAGAGGCTGTAAATAAGGTATAACTTTCGCTAATAAAATAGTAACAACAACAATGAACTTGGACCTGTGGCCACTAACAGGAGAGGGCTGGGTATGTGCCCCGGCTTGCCCGGTTTTGCTTGCTTTTCTGAGCATTTTCCCACAGTTATCAGTGAACGAAATGGAATCCTACTCTGCTTTGAGTATGAAACATATTTCGGCTGAATTCCAAGGCAGGGTCTATCACAAGATATTTTTATATTCAGAGATGACCTGCTGTGTCACTGTGAGAGCACTAAGCTGGCCTGGAGTTATGAATGAAACTACCTTTTACCCTTTTTCTCTTTTGCCTTTATCTCATAGGTGCTTTCTCTTCTCTTGGCAGCAGTGTGCTTCTGGTGGCACAGCACGGTATTATTTAATGTACACGCTTCTATTTCCGATGGCTTGGTTTCTGACACAGCAAAGCGGGGATTCATGACCCAGTTCATGTTCCTTGTCTACCCCACCTGCCATGAGTACATTTCTTCAGCGCCAAGATAGCAGAAGCTTCATTTAAACGCTGGTGTTTTGTGAGACTGACCTTACTGTAAATTACGAAGGAAATTTTTAGAAAAGGAGGGAATTTGCTAATAGCTTAGGTTTGGCGGAGGGGTGGGGAGGTGGAATTCTGAGATAAGCTTGGAAGATAAAAGGTGCCTTCAGTTTAACAGCTGGCATCTTGCCAGTATCCAGGGAATTTGTTTAGTTAGTAGACTCTGATTATTCTTGGAATGTTAGATCTTATTAACAGATAAGTTCATCAATAAATATAACCCATGGGTGTGTGGTTGTTTCTCCCTTTGTACTTTCTTCCCTGGGATCTGCCCCCAACTCCACCGCCCAAGTGAGGTTGACTTCTTTGTCTTGCAGAGTCGCTTTGCATCTACCCCCTCCTGTTTCCTAGAGTTACCCGATACTTGTGGGAGCCAGGATGGTCTCACACAGACAGAGCTTTCAAAGGGGTTCTAAAAAGGAAAAGGGGGCCTCCCTAGAGACTGCCTCACCAGGGCCCAAAGTGTAACCTTAGCAATACCCCTTCGGTACAAATACCTTGTTAGGTTAACTTAGAATAAATTCTTTGTGTTTTTTTCCCCCCCTGTGCACTAGGGTCAGGGTCTGGAAAGTTTTGGGAAACTATATGCTAAGTACTCTCATATCATATAGGGAGGTGGCATTTCCTGATCTCAACTTTGAGCTGCCTGCATGCATGTTGACCCCAGTGGGTCCCTGCCAGGTGAAAGGAGTCATTTGTCAACCTGGGACGAGTACTGACAAAGGAAGGGGAGTTGGTTTGGATTTAAACATCCAGGAACTCAGTGCAATGACCAATAGAATTTTTATTTTGGCATTATGGTTTTGTTTGGTGGGGTCTTCTGGGAGGAGGCCAAGAATGTACGAGGTTTTGGAGAGTTTTGGAGAGTCGACCCTGTTTCTGAATTGCTAAATTGTTGTTTATCTGTCTTGCAGAGGTCCTATACGTTGCTTGTGGAGGCGTGGGATTCCAGTAATGACACCGTTCGTAAGTATCGCTTCTGTGGACTTTTCTCTAAACACATGTGGAAGTGTGGGGCTTGGCCAACCAGTTGGAGCTGGATCTGTCTCCTTAGTACTTAGGATTTCTGCCACCCCTTGCCTTCTGTTCTCTCCCGCACCCTAGGGTGAACCTGTCAGTGGAATCTATTCCTTAACTTTTCTAGAATTTTAGCTTGGAATATTAAGTGGCCAGAACAGACTCCCAGTTAACTAATTCCCTGATTATGAAACCTAGATTATCTTCAGGATAGAGATCTTAATGGTTTTACAACTTTAAAACCTTGTAGGCTGCTAAAGGATCAAAGTAGTGACTTTTTAAAAGTCCATTTAAACTTTAAGTGAGCGTTTAATCTCTCATCAGAAAGATAAAGCCATAAAGGTGGTGCTGGGCTCTAGAGACCGACCTTGAATTTCACTTGGTGGGCAGGTGAGCTTCTAGCCCGTCCAGGTTTCCCACACTGCGCCACAGACCTTTCATTGAAGCAGAATTACAGAGCTTCACAGCCATTACCTGCCTTGTCCCCTTCTGAAAGATGGCTCTGTTTTCAGTGCAGGTTGCCTTTCAGGACGGTGAGGGGTCGGTTTTGGTGGATAAGCCATGGAGGATGTGATGGAAATGACATAGTCTGGCTTACAAAGTAGTCTTGCTCTTTAATTGTAACTTTACAGTGTTTTTGCTCATGAGCCGAAACTTCAGTTCCCTTTTTGCCAGCAGAGTTTGGGTTGCTGTTGCTGGAAAACTTGATGTGCACTGAAATCTCCTGGTGTGTGCATGAGGAAGAGTGGATCCAGCTTCTTGTCTTGGCTCTCCGTTCTCTGAATGCCTTGTTCTTTTTGCTTTTCTATCTTACCATTTTTTGGTTTGTTTTCACTGTGAATAACATCTTTTCCTCTTTCCTTGCCTTTGCTTTTTTGCTGACAGAGAATGGTGAATGCCCACCGTGGGTGCAGTGAGGGCTCGGTGCCTGCTGCGTGGGCAGCTTCCACCTGTGGCTGGCTTATTGGGCCACTTGGGGCTGCAGAATCATTGCTGAGCCCAGATGTGCCAGAGAGTCCCAGGCCATTTGGGTCACTCTTCTAGCTTGGGAATCTTAACTCCAACTCTTTGGGTGTCATCCTCCCTGGAGGGGGAGCTTGTGAAAGTCCAAGGTCCAAGTCTTCCTCCCCAGAGGACTACCCCATAATGCCATGGGGAGCGCGTGTGGGGGTGGCAGGGAAGCTGTGTCAGCCTTGGCTATGGCTGATGCCAGTCAGGGTCACAGACACCTGTTTGTTCTCCCCTCCCTTCCCTGCCACAAACGTTGAGGACTGTGAACATTATGTCACTGTGACCTGCTTACAACGGTAACTAAGCGTTAAGCAGAAGGGGTCGAGGAGGGGGGGAGGCATAGGCTCTTCTGTAATATTATGGTGTCGGCATGGTGTTCTTTCCCCTCCCTTTTAGCTATTAAAACAATCCACCCGGTAGAGTGAACAACTTGAGTTTGACACTGGCCTGTGATAAGAGCTGGGTCAGTATACTTGTTAGGGACATGTGAGAGACCTCCCTGCCACACTCCAGCATTCGCAGAACCTTTCCTGGGCCTACTGTTGCCTCACTGGTCAGGGAGTTATGTCCCTGGGAACCCAGCGCTTGTCCAGAACTACCCACAGTTGTCTGCATTTCCAGGTAGCCCCATTTTGGGGTTCTGGGATGTTTCATCTCCTGCTTGGGGGGTAACCAAATCCCTGGAAGAGGACAAGGAAGACTGGGGTAGGAATAAAGGTCTTTTAAACTTCTGTTTTTAGAGAGAGAGGGGTTGATACAAAGTCACGGGTGCCCATTGCGGGTTATCAAAACTCACTTGGTGAACCCCGAAGAGGAGATGAGTTTGGTGGGAATGGTTTCCACTTGCCTATTTGACCTCTTCTATGATGCTTCCAAGGAATCTTGAATTCAGCACAGTCAAAACCAAAGTCAGGATCTTCTCTTGACAAAAGCAGTCCCTTCCCTAGCGCCCCTTCTGGGTGTCTGGCACTGATATTTGAACGCTCACTGCCATAAGTCAGAAATATGGAAGGCGCTCTGTGTACCTCGTCTCTGTTAGCATCCATACCTAGTCCACCTCCAAGTTCTGAAAAATCTCTCCAGCTCTTCACTTGAATCTGCCTGCCTTCTGCCACTGCCCTGGTCCAAGTCACCATCTGCTCATGACCGAACTTAGAGTAGCCTCCGTCTAGTCCACCTTGATCTGCTCTGACCCACCTCTAGTGCTTTCTCCATTCTTCTGCCATCCTGGTCTTTTCAGAGCATAACCTTGGCTTGTCACCCTTATTATGAAAAACCAACCACTCGGTGACCTTCTGTTGCTCTTGGGACAGATCTTCACGTGGCCCACAAGGCTCTGTGCAGCCCAGCCTTGTCTCCCTGCCAGCCTTGTCTTACACACCATGTTGTCCATCGTATCTATAGCCTGGCCATACCCTAGCAGTTGCTTTTTCATCCTCAACTATATCACGTGCTCTCCTGCCTCAGGACCTTTGCACATGCTGTTTATGCTACCTGGAGTGTTTTGTTCCTTTCTTCACCCTGAGCCACTCCCTCTGGACTGCACTCCACAGGGCAGAAGCTGAGGATGTTCAGAAGCCCAAATGGAGTTGGCTGCCCTGTGGGACCCAAGCGAGTTGTAAACATTCTGGCTTCAGATGGTAAATCAAAGGCAGAGCCCTGAGTTTTAGGGCAGAGAATTCCTTCTATCAGCTCTGCAGTGAGCCCTCACAGGCAGACTCGGGCCCAAATATAGCCTAGGTTCTGTTTATGTATTCAAAAGTATTTAAGGCTGGTCCTTCTGTCATCGGTCCTTCAAAGTCTTTTATTACATTTTGGGATTGTGGTATATAGAGTTCCAAATTTCTTTCTCCCCCAGAGCAAATGGTTTCAGTTTATTGTAATGCACAGTAGACACGTAAGCATACATAGGCACACTTCAGACCAGGTTTTCCCTGAGGCCCCCTTCTAGGTTTTCGGGTTGGTGTGGTCCCAGGTTATGCTGAGACTGGCCCTTCATCACCTCCTCCATGGCCTGTGAGGTGGTCATAGATTCTTCGTGATTCATCTTCATGGCACTAGGGATTGCAGAGAGGCATGGTGACATCCTTTTCCAATCACAAGACTGGACTGCCAAGTGAACTGCCACAGATAACCTTTCCGGTGCCCCAAGCTGAAGGGAAGCGTGATCAGGAAGCAGGCAGCAGAGGTGTTCGAACCCAGACACGCTTGACCCCCTCCCTGAGCAGGTGTGAAGTTATGTATGCAGCTCTGTTAGCTCCACTGAAGATTCTGAAGTGATCCTCTACACGGCACTTCCCGGAAATAAGTGGAAAGCTTACTGCATGACTGAAAAGTACATATCAGTCTTGTACCCCTAGGATTGCCCTGAACTTTTGTCTGAACTGTTTGTTGTTGATACCAGCCTCAGAAGCTAGATGCCTTTGAGCCATGGCTAGCGTGTTTAACCGATCCCTTTTATGAAGATCTTGTAAGCGTGTGGTAATAGCCCACTATGCTTTTTAACTGAACCAGCAGAGCAAACATAGTTAATGGAGAGACATTTTTGTCATTCTTTGGCCTCTGTTTATTTGCAAAAATGAGGAAAGTGTTACCTGAAAGTGGTTCAGTGCTGCCGGGGTGTCAGGCCGCAGGTATGTGGGCTTGTTCAAGGCTTGTCTTGCCCACGCAGCAGTTTGAGAGCCCCAGAGGGTGAATACTGGGGCCCTGCTGGAAGTGGGATGTGTGGATGAAGCCATCCAGGAGTCCCTTCTCTCCTGGTCACCTACAGGGCTTGCATCAGTTTGTAAAGGAGCATGGGCCCGAGGCCTAGAAAAACAGCCATGTGGGTGGGTAAGAATCACAAAGACATTGCAAGTCTCTGTCTCTCCAAGATGGCCTTGGATTTGACAAGGTGATGGAGAGTTGGTGCTAACAGGTTTAAGAAAACAAACACAAAACCAGGCTGGGGTGCTGACTTAGTGCCTCGCTGCCTTTTCAGATCCCTCACCTGCACTCCTGGCACCTGATGTGTGAGCTATTTTTGTACCTGTCTCTTCTCAAACTAGATCATAAATGGCCTCAGGGCAGGGACTACTTACTCCTAAGAGCTGCTTGAGCTGGAGGTGTTTATTTTCCTCAGTAAGCTTTTTCTTCCGGGAGCATGACTTGACTCAAAAAAAAAAAAAAAAGAAAAAAAGAAACTGTCCCCTCGATCTACCTGTGTCTAAACTTTGGTGAGTTATTCTTCCATCTGCCTTCTGGGCAGGGGAGAAAGGTGGAATGCATCAAATTCAAGGTGTTGGTATTTAAGGGCTGGCTTTAAAGGTTGCCATGTTAACACTTTTTAACAAAATGTAACTCAGTCCTCTCCTGGGCTTCCAGTTAAGAGTTTCGGAATGGACAAAAAGCTTTTCTGAGCAAGACACGAAACTCTAAAACCAGAAATGATTGCTGACCTTTATCTGGAATAATGAAATTTCTTCAAGAGCAACATTTCCATAGGAAGCTACTTTCTCTCATATGTAAAGAGCTCTTGCAAGTCAGTATGGCAATGTAATAGAAAAGTTGGCAGAGGAGAGAGGCTGTTGCTGTTCACAGGAACAAATATAAATGGTTTTGTAACTACCAGAAAGGACTGTCACCATCACTTAATTAAATGCTAATTAAACGAGATACCTCTTTACCTATCAGGCATAGATGAGAAGGTTTGATAATGTACAACGTTGGCAGTGTTATTGGGAAGCACAGCTTCCTGGGTGGTGGGAGGACAGACTGGGTAGTTTGAGATTGCGGACAGATGCTGGTTGGTTGTGCACATACTCTGATTCAGCACTTCCATTTCTAGAGTATCTGATTGTGGGAACCATACACAGGCAGATACGTTCCAGGAATGCGCACTGTGGCTTTGTTTAATAGTAGGAAGCCCAAACGACTCACATGCCCACATGTCAGGGACTAGGTAAATTATTTATTGGTGTTTCCAGACAATGAAATACTGTGTACCCATGAAAGAAGGTAAATAAGTGGTAACAGGTTGTCTCTAGGTAAGGGCATAACCTTTTTCATTTCTTTGCCTTTTTGTACAACAGATATAATTTCGTAGCATGTGCATATGTTTTTATTTTAAAAAGCCAGAACGGTCAGGGAAGAAGGCTCCAATGTGAATATTTAACACGATTCATCATTTTGTCTTTAGAACCTGACAGTATTATTGAAAAGGCTTCTCACTCGGGCATGATCAACCCCAGCCGGCAGTGGCAGACGCTGAAGCAGAACACGGGCGTTGCCCACTTTGAGTATCAGATCCGCGTGACCTGTGATGACTACTACTATGGCTTTGGCTGCAATAAGTTCTGCCGCCCCCGAGATGACTTCTTCGGACACTATGCCTGTGACCAGAATGGCAACAAAACTTGCATGGAAGGCTGGATGGGCCCCGAATGTAACAGAGGTATGTGTGTGTGTGCATGTGCACATATGCCTGTGGCTTTTAGTGTCCATTTATCCCCCCACCAGCAGCAGGTGGCATGTGGCTATCTCAGGTGGGGTGGGATTTTGGCTGTTATTCCGGGCCTGCAGCATGAAGATGCTGAGTGTAGAAGATGCTGTCGGTGCCCCATCCAGATCCCCTTTACTGACATCGCCATCCCCCAGGTGCTGTGTTGGCTGCCAACAGCTCACAGCTGCTCCTTCTCAGGAGACTCGTCCTTGGCCAAACCAGTGCATGCCCCATTCCTCCAGCTCAGAGTCAGTGATTGACAGACCGGGCTACAAAGGCCAGCTTCCTTTGCCTTAAAACAGTAGTACAGTGCGCACTCTAGAGCTTACCCTGGGACTAGGCTGAAATCAGACTCCAGTTGAGACCATGTTCTTGCTCAGCTCCTTCCCCTACCCCTTTCTGCTTCCCTCAATTCCTTCTACCTATGTCCAGATCCCCTTCTCAGACTCTGCTTCTAAGGAACTTGACCCAAAATAGATGCCAGACAGGACTAGGTTAGCCCAGTTGATGTCTGAACAGGCAATCCTATAGGAAATGATAGCCCCTGCATTCGGGGTAGCCTTGCAGCAAGTTTTCACTGGGCGTCTTTGGGGTCATGGCATTGAGGGGGAGAGGTATGTGGTTAGCTCAAGCTTTCCTACTGATGGAGGACTGAGCCCACTTTTAGCCTCTGTACTGTCTACTGTCCCAGTCCCTTTATAGAATTCAGTGATTCCAATTCATAGCAACTTGATGGGTAATTCTGTTAACTGTATAATATCCCCTCATGAGCAATAATGTTCTCTGCTTATTTTACATGGTAATTAGGTAAATTCTTTTGATAAACTCAATTTCGAAGTGAGTTTTACAACCGTGACAGAGGGATGGGGCATGGGGGAAGGAATTTGCAGATCTCCCGGGTAGTACTAATGCTTTCTTAAATAATTGGAGACAAGAGTTTAAAAAGGATGGCATTTCTGGAATTCAAATGAAAAGGGAAATTGATTAACATATTTTAGTGTGTTTGAAAAATTAAATGACCTAACACTTAGTGTGGGTTTTTTGTTTGGTGTTTTTTTTTTTTAAGATAAAGTGCTCACTTTGTCACCCATGATGGCACAATCAGGGCTCACTGGAGCCTTGAACTCCTGGGCTCAAGTGATCCTCCTGCCTCAGCCTCCCAAGAAGCTGGGACTCTAGGCACATGCCACCACACCCAGCTTTCCCAGCTTTTTTATTTTGTGTAGACAGAGTCTTGCTGTGTTGTTGAGGCTGGTCTCAAACTCCTGGCCTCAGGCTATCCTTCTGCCTCAACCTCCCAAAGTGTTGGGATTATAGGCATGAGCCACTGTGCCTGGTCTTATAAACTGACATTTTTTAAAAAGTCACTTTTTTTTTTTTTTTTTTAATGAAGTAGAGAATCGCTCTGCAAGGGTACTTTACAAAAATCTCACCAGATCTGGCCACCAGATTAGCCTGCCCAATGAATCCAGCCTGGTTGGCTCTGTTAGTCCCGTGGAATTTTGAAACCAGGCATTTGGTATGGATTTTTTTTTTCTTTTTTTTTAAGCCTGAGGCTCATCTGAACGTGTCCTGGTGGGATGGGGAAGGATTATCTCTACCTTTTTTTCTTCTAATGAAAAGGGTGTGGGCAGAATGGAAGCTGACCAAGCTCTGCTCAAGGAGCCAGGGTAGCTGTGGTTTAGAGAGGCTGGACGAAGGTCCCTGTTCCCTCATCAACTTGTCTGCATTTTGTCCCCAAACAATATCATGTTTTCAGGATCTACTAACAAGGCCTTGAAGTTTAAAGCTGGTTTTGTTATTTGGGCCTCTCCCATCTTCCTCTCCTTACAAGGGACTTGATATGAGATCTATTAAAATTGTGGAATTTGCAGACTTTAATGCAATGGGCCATTCTCATGACTGTGGCGATGCAAGGAGCAGGCAGTGTGCTGACACACCCTTCTCTGTTTTTTACAGCTATTTGCCGACAAGGCTGCAGTCCCAAGCATGGGTCTTGCAAACTCCCGGGTGACTGCAGGTAAATAAACTGGTCTTTTGTGAGATTTCTTTTAATTTTCCTTTATGTAAGAGAGGGACTGATTTTATTGCGACTATGCCTCTTTTTCCTTGGAGAACAAGAAAGCTTTTTTAAAAAATTCAGATAGACACATCCGAAGCTTATTAAATTATACCAGCTGTCTGGTGGAATGCACACACCACTTCTCTCTTGGAATAAAAAGAAACTCTTTGGGCATAGCCAGTGACTTCATGTATTAACTGTTCTGTAAATTGATAACACATTTTTATAATCTTCCCTTACAGTGCTAATGGGCTAGGTGGAGGGATGTGGGCTTGTGTCTTTGCATCTCTCTCCTCCTCTTCCACCAAGGTTTTCTTCTCCCAGCCCCCTCCCCCACTTTTCCCATCAATAGGCGAAAGTCCAGCATTCTTTAGAATGGGATTAGTCCAATCTCCTGGCCCCTTTGCAGGCGGGAGCTGGGTTGGTGCTGAGAGGTTAATGGCTGCCCCGGAATCTTGTCAGTTGAGCCTGATGAATGTAGACTTTTGCTGCAGTCCTTTGAAGTCTGTTCCTTTATGGTCCAGGAACAATGCAGAAGCCAAAGGGAGGCCTGCCCTGACCACTTCACGATGGCGGATTTTGGAACTTCTTGAAATTTATATTATGCCAATTTGGAAAAGGCTTATTTAGGGAAATATTGTTGGTGTCTGCGGTGTTTTTGGCAGTCCTATGCTTTACTCTCCCTCTTCCCAAATTTTATGGAGTAACACGAAATGGATCCTTTGAACCTGTCACTTTTGCCCCAAAAGCTACTCTGACATGAGTGAAGAGACTCTTACGAAACATAGTCTAAACCAGTATGTGCCAAACTAACGTTATTGGGGGCTCTTATTAAAACGCAGGTCTTGATTCTATAGGTCTGGGCTGGGCCCAGGTTTCTGCATTTCTAACAAGCCCCCAAGCGATCCTGCTGATGGAACCATCAGCGATCACTGCCCCAAAACCTCAGTACTGAAAGTGTAACTTCCAGAATTAACAAGGGAGCTGTTAAAATGCAGGTTCGTGGGCTCCATCCCACATCTGTAGAATCCCAGTCCTTGGTTTGGCCTAGGAGTCTGCCATTTGACAAGCTTGCCACATGACTTTGCTGCTTGGTAAATGTTGAGGCTGCTGCTTTGAAGAGAACTATCTGTGGCGTTTACCTTTGTGATTCCACCACTCCGTCCGCTCCCCTCCCACGCAAGGGGGAACAGGGAACCCTACATTAAGAACTGGTTGTCCTGAATTGTCTCTTCCTACATTTCAAAAAGATAGTTTATTTCCTGGAAGGCTGAGGGGCTTCTCCTGCTGTCTCCCATTGGTGGCGGTGAACTGTAGTGTTTAACAGCACTGCTGTCAAATGTGGAGCAGGAATCCACCTACCTTAACTCTTCCTAATTAAGGGCATTCTGGAGAAAGTCCCAATGGCAGTGCTATTAGTGATTCCAAGCCTGCTCCCTGCTCAGATGGATATCAGCGGAGGCCGACTGTGATTTGTGCTGCTGTCATCAGAACACACATACAGCTATACAGGGGAGGGCCCTCCCAGCCAGAACAACAGGCTTTGTTTCCAGAATTTAGCCCTTTCTCTTTCGAAGTCCCACCTCCCTCTCCCTGCCCAGACACGCACTGATGGCCTTATTTACTTAAGGTGCGACTTTCCCACACATCATTTGCATAGTCTCCCAGCCCAGTTTTCTCTCCCTACCTTGAAAGAAAGTCAAAACAGAACCTTCACACTGAGGAAGTTCAGGTTGTGTCCTGCCGCCGAAATAGCTGAATGGCAAGTTACCTGCAAGTTGTCTTTTGGATTATGTATTACACAGGTTATTTTTTTTTTCACCCCCACATGAGAATTTACTGGTTTTTGTTGTTCCCAAGTAGACTGAGTCCCTTTCCCTGGGTATACATGCTTGCTTATTGCAAGCCTGCCAATAATATCAAACTTAATTATGAATCATCATCTGAGGAAAGTCACTTCAATTTCTCATGAGAATCTTAATCATATATTATTAAACTGGGATAACTTGGTTGGTACCTCTTTTAGGGTCAGTATTTTTATTTGTTTTCTTTTGAAGTCATCCATGGCCTCTTGTGGTTGCTTTTTTATGCTTGGGGATTGAGGTCTCTTTAATTAGGTGAGGTTGGGTCCTCAGCTGCCTCTCCTTGCCTTTATGAGGCAGCTTGAAGAGGCCTAGTGATCCTGAATTTGGAAGAGAATAAGGGAAGACGGTGAGAATATTGCCATTTCGTAATCAGTTCCCTCTCACTATCTTTCAGGCTAAGAATATCAGCCTTGACAGAATGGCTACCCCCCTACCTCCCACTAACGTGGGTGTGCGCTTTTGAGAACTTATTTAGATTGTAATTTTGTTCTTATCTTACTCCTCTAGTCACTTGTCACGTTGACATTCCACTTTACAGAAACCAGAATCCAGTGTCTAACTTTAAACCACACATTCTAGTGATTCTTTGCATGTGGGTGTGCACGGCTGGGTTTTAGAAGTTAGGAAGTGGTTAGTCAGTATTCTCAGGGGTTAAGTTGACTCTCAGCCGTGGGTGATTAGCTATTAGCTAGCTCCCTATAATTTTCCCATGACAAGGATTTTGCTAGCCTGCCTCCTGCTCTTGGGAAACCGAAAGCCTTTCCTTCTGGGGAGTTGGAGGGGGAGGTTTGTTTTCCAGAGTTACAGCTGAGCAGCTTAGGGGGTTGGCGCTGATCGGGGCTTTTCCCGGGTCCCATTCTGGAAACATGTTGCCCATCCCACCCGCACCCCACCCTCCACCCTCCACCCTCCGCCCTCCGCCCTCCACCCTCCACCGGCAGGCTAGTTGATGTTTCTCCCTGCCTTCCCCCACCCTTGTTAAAACTTGGCTCTTGAGAAGGCAATTACAGTTTCAGAGGGCTTGAAACTTGAAGGGAGAGTGGTTTGAGATGCTGCCCGCTCCCACCCCAGGTGAAAGTTGTTTTGTTTCTGTTTTTATTTGGGGATCAAAGGCACTATTTGGCCCCAAAAGAGTACAATTAATCAAGGTGCTTATATAAAAGAACCTCAACTCCCCCAATACTAGATAAATTAAGCAGACTGCTTTCTTTTTTTTTTCTTTTCTTGGCAAAGCAAGAAATCACTATAAATTAGCACACAGTAATGGGACACAAATTATGGAGTTGGTTCCAAGTGTTGTCATTTCCTTCTCCTTCCCTATAGAAGTGGGTTTAGGGCGCCTACTCTGGCCTTGGCCAAGGGAGGAGAGGGAGGAGGGTGCCCCTTTCTCTCCTTGTTTTTTTTTTTTTTTTATAAAGATCTTTCTTTTTTTTTTTTTTTTTTTTTTTGAATAAAGCGTCATCGTGACGCGGTTTCCTGCTGCACTTGGTGGCTTGTTGCCTTTCTGTGAGCTGGGGTCGTGACTTTCTGTGCAGACAAAGAGCAGAGCGGCAAGTGCGGCGTCTGCAGAGACTTTGGCATAGCCCTCTTGTCACCAGGAGAGTCCTTTCTCTACAGTCTGTCGCGACTAGGTGCGCAGGTTGATTTATTCCACGCCTTCACCTTTGGCTCACTCGTGTGAGCCTGAGAAGAGAGTGGCTTTGTGAAGGGCATCCCCATGCTAGTCTCTTTCCAAACAGCCCTCCTTTTGTCAGGAGTCGGCTGGGAGGGGACCTCAGCCCAACTGTGAAAATGTTTCTACGGAGCCCCTGGTGAGCCTTGGGAGTCTACCACCCTGTCCCCAGACACAAAACAGAAAAAGCCTGGACTTCGCAGTCTTCCGTTTGGATTGTGCAGGTCTCTCTTAATGTTCAAAAGGCTAACCTGCAGGTGTGCTGTGTGTCTCCAGGTGCCAGTACGGCTGGCAAGGCCTGTACTGTGATAAGTGCATCCCGCACCCGGGGTGCGTCCACGGCATCTGTAACGAGCCCTGGCAGTGCCTCTGTGAGACCAACTGGGGCGGCCAGCTCTGTGACAAAGGTATAGCCCCTAGGGATGAGACCCAGGGTGGGATGCGGGCCTCGGAAGGAGTGTGGGATCTGGGCGTGGGATGGCAGTAATTTGGTTTTTAATTTTATTGGCAGGGGCTTTTATTCTGCATTCTCCTTGAATGCTGTGTGGGTTTTCTGGTTTTCTTTTTAAAAGACGATTGGGGCTAGAAACATGGCAGGTTCGCCACCTTCACAGGCATCTCTTAGTGACTCCAGGATCTTTTTGGCAGATCTCAATTACTGTGGGACCCATCAGCCGTGTCTCAACGGGGGAACTTGTAGCAACACAGGCCCTGACAAATATCAGTGTTCCTGCCCTGAGGGGTATTCAGGACCCAACTGTGAAATTGGTAAGTGGTCCAAGCTGAATGAGAGTCCTTTGTCTAATTTTTCTGTACTCAGCCTTTAAAAAATATACTTAAGGACTTGTGTAAGGAAAAAAAAGTGCGAATAGCCTCCAAAGATAGGCCTTATCCCAGCCATTCTATAGGCCTTTGTAACTTTCAAGTCCCGAAGGTTTTTTGGATGATGTTGATTCATATAGGAGGCAGCGGGAGATGAAATGACCCCAGCTCTACGATGTCTCGGAATGTGGTTAGAGACAGCTCAGTGAGAAAGATGACTTCCTTTCTTTCCTAGACACAGCAGGCTTCTATCACACGCTTGCTTTTGGTTTTTGAAATATGCTTGCACTAGTGGCTGTGGTGTGGGATTCGGTTGGGGGGGGGCGCGTGGGGAGGCAGCGGTGCGCAGGCATCCCTCGCTGACTGCCATCCTGGTTTTTGCAGCTGAGCACGCCTGCCTCTCTGATCCCTGCCACAACAGAGGCAGCTGTAAGGAGACCTCCCTGGGCTTTGAGTGTGAGTGTTCCCCAGGCTGGACCGGCCCCACGTGCTCTACAAGTAAGTCCAATTTTCAGCCTGTGTCCATTCTAAGGATCCTTGTGCCAAGATACCACGCTGGGGAGAGGTATCTAGGCTTGTCCAGTGTGCACGTCTTAGCGGGAGAGGGGCGGGTGCAGGCATAAGTCTGGTAAGCAGTCTGGTGGCTTGTGTGTTTGGAAGTCTCCCAGCACCCCTATCCTGTCCCACGAAGGTAGTGCATGTATCTGTTCTTGGAAGGAACGTCCTCGTGGAATCGCTTGTTCCTTTGCATCTGCTTCCTGGAGCTGGCCACCTTCCAGTTGTGGTTATTCTCCTTGCAGCCATGGAGAGCCTACCTTCAGGGGAGGTTGTCACTCACTACTGGATTTTGTCATAGGGCCAGGGGGCCCCAAAAGAAGAACGTGGCCTGCAGAGTTCCTTTGGCTGTGAGACAGGGCTGTATGTCAGAATCACCTGGGGTGCCTTACAGTGTAAATCTCTGGGTCCCCCAGATTCCCTCCAGAATCCGGGAGTCCATGGTCTCTGATAAACTGAAATTCTGCAGTGCAGCCAGGCCTGAGAACCGCTGTCATCAGCACCCCAGGTGTGGTTATGGATGTGGATTTCTGGGGTCAGCTTGCCTGTGCTGGTCCTGGGCCCCCACCCGTCACTTGCGGAACTCCAGCAGGCCACAGAAGCTCCCTGGGCCCTCTTTAAATGGCACAGTAGCAATTGCCGTCTCCGAGGGTTGTCATAAAGACACAAAAGCGAATACTTGATAAATTGTCAGGAGTTCTCTCTGGTCAGAGCAGAAGTGGAGAATGCAGCCTCTAGGTGTGCTATTTTGGGCAGACTCTAAGCAAATAAGAGGAATAAGGTTTTCCACCTGTAAAGAACTGTTTTTCCTTACTCCTTAGCTACTTCTGAGCCATGATGAAACTTTTCTTTAAAAATAAAGATTAGGCAGATAGAGATGTCCTGTGTTCCTCCTGGGCGGATGCTCTGTCAGGATCCAGCTGTCTTTCTCCCCCACTGCTTAGGTTGGGGATTACATGAACTGGGGCAGTGGGGGATTTAAAGCTAAAATCAAGGCTTCGGCCTTATCGTCACTGTCCCACTTGTCCTGCTGTAGCTTTCCTTGTAGCAGGTGTCTGGCTCTTCAATGACAGCCCCTCATGTGAGAGGTGATGTTAAAGGATCTAATTGTCAGATGGATTGAATTAAATTGTCAACCCCCTCCTTTTCTTGTTGACCAGACATTGATGACTGTTCTCCTAATAACTGTTCCCACGGGGGCACCTGCCAGGACCTGGTTAACGGATTTAAGTGTGTGTGCCCTCCACAGTGGACTGGCAAAACGTGCCAGTTAGGTAAGAAAATCCCTGTGACTGTAATTTTTATGTCAAGGTTGGCTTTGTCAAAGCCATTACAGAAGACGAGCGTGTGGCCAGCAGTGTGAGTTCACACTCCATCATGCTAAGAAGTGATTTATTATCAAGAGTCTAGCGGGCCTGGGAGAAATAACTTGAATGCAAATGGACTAGCTCTTTTAGGCCCTGTGGGAAAGTCGTGGGATTCCTTGAACCATGTCAATCGTCTGTCCGAGGAGTGTTCAGCTGGGTTCCAAACGGGGATGATCTCATGAGGAATGAGCTGTCTGCATTCTTTTTGCCACATTTAAATCCCAGCAACTAGGCTGCGCTGGGTTTTGCACAGAAATGCCTGGTGGCTTTCTGCTCTTCTGTTGGGGGCTGGTTAACTAGCAGCTGGAAAGTTATCAATTAGCGTTCTTATTGGATAATGGCTAGGGAGAGGGATCAGATGCTTAAAATAGAGGGAACCTCTAGTATCTTTTATTTAGCTAGCTTATTAAAAGGTCTTATGTCTCTGACAAACTCTGGCCTGTTCTTTTCTTTTTTACAAAGTGGGGGAGATGCGGGTTGAACTTCATTTCTCATGCTCATCCCCGTCTCCTTTCAGATGCAAATGAATGTGAGGCCAAACCTTGTGTAAACGCCAAATCCTGTAAGAATCTCATTGCCAGCTACTACTGCGACTGTCTTCCCGGCTGGATGGGTCAGAATTGTGACATAAGTGAGTGACTTTGTTTCCATTTTGATTTTCATGGAACTTGGGTAGCCGACTTGCTGGTCTGTGTTGAGGCTCCAGTCCTACGACTCGAGCAGTACAAGGAAGACCTTAGAGTGGGAATGTTTTTTTGAGAGGGAGTGGTCAGTGCAGCAGTGAAAACATCACACACTTTATCAGGCTCATTTAGCTGCTAAAACCAGCCATATTCTGATAATGTGGCTGAAACAATGATGTGAAGTTTCACTCCCTCATTCTGGAAGAATTAGGGAGGGTCCCCACCCAGCGTAATAACCTTATCTCACGGGAAGCACACAGGAAATCTGATTTGAAACTTATCTATCCTGAGCTGAGAAGGCTTTTCAATTAAGCCCAATTTCACTGTAAATTACCTCTTTAAAATGATGACTTATTTATTTTTTAGATATTAATGACTGCCTTGGCCAGTGTCAGAATGACGCCTCCTGTCGGGTATGTAAATCTTTGCTTAAATCAAAACTTTGACAATTGACAACAGATCTTTAGATTTGTGTGACACTGGGAGAGCTCTGTCCCTGTGAGATTTAAAAACTTGGGTGAAAAACGAGCCTCTCGGAAGTTTCACTAGGGCTTATGTTACCCCAGCCTCGTGGGAGTCATTTTGAAGGCATGCACATAGAAATTCCTCTAACCGTTTTCAGAGGTTTGGCATTTGGCTATTTCAGTGAACCAGCTAAACCGCAACAGTCATGCTAAACCGCTGAAGCCCTGTGTTTGTGGAATACATAGAAAAAAAAGCACGTGTCTCTCTCTCCCCTTCTCCTCTTCCAGGATTTGGTTAATGGTTATCGCTGTATCTGTCCACCTGGCTATGCAGGCGATCATTGTGAGAGAGACATCGATGAATGTGCCAGCAACCCCTGTTTGAATGGGGGTCACTGTCAGAATGAAATCAACAGATTCCAGTGTCTGTGTCCCACTGGTTTCTCTGGAAACCTCTGTCAGGTGAGTGGTGGCAAAACCTCAGATGGCCAAGTTTTTACAGCAGAGCCGCTGCCTCCTCCGCTTCCCCTTTACTCCTCCCTCAGCTCTTACGTCTGGAATTTCCTGACATCTATTAACATCCTATTGATGAGTCTCTGCTAGACAAATGCTGGTGGAAGGAGATATTGACGAATTATTTTCTTCTTGGTGTCTTCGTCTTTGTGTTCTATTTGGTTCCCTCCACCCCCTCTTGGGCTCCCTCTCCCACTCTGCTCCATTGTTTCAAATTTGGACATTGGCAGTCCCTAGGGCATGGACATGTATCTTACAGGGTGACTTCTAATAGAAACAGAAGGAACTGTCAGATTCCAGTGCCTGCTGCCCCAGAGAAGTTATCATGACACCTTTGTTTTACCCTGATCCCTCCCCCTTTTCCCTGTTCCTGATATTTGCAGCTGGACATCGATTATTGTGAGCCTAATCCCTGCCAGAATGGTGCCCAGTGCTACAACCGTGCCAGCGACTATTTCTGCAAGTGCCCCGAGGACTATGAGGGCAAGAACTGCTCACACCTGAAAGACCACTGCCGCACGACCCCCTGTGAAGGTACCTCCCTTCTCCTGGGACCTGGCTGTCTCCACTTTCTCCTTTTGTCCCCACTTACTACCACTGCCCCTTGCTACACTTGAGAAGTAATGTATTGGTGAGGAGGACCGCTACAGTGAAATGATCCTGTCTGTGTAGCGGGCCGCAACACGTGGAAACAATCTATTCAGGCCTGCCAGTGGGAGAGCCATGTCTACAAGTAGCCCAGGGGAGAGAATGTGAAATCCATTTAGCATTCCTGTTCTGGGGTGGGCTGATGTGCAAAGCTGAGGCAAATGCCTGAGAACAACACTGTCAACAGAACTTCCTGCAACGGCAGACTGGGGGAATGTTCTGTATCTGCACGGTCAGGTGTGGGAGCCCCAGGCAATGTAGACTGTGACTAGCGCAACTAGAAACTGATTTTATTTCATTTTAGTTCGTTTAAATGTAAATAGCCACATGTGGCCGGTGGCTGCTGTATTAGGTAGCACAACATTTAAAGCTTCTATAAGATTGTCCTTGAGCCTTGCTTAAGGTCAAAAAGGAAGTGAATAAAGCAGGTCCTTTTTCCTTAGCAAGTGTTTACCAAATTGGGTAGATGTCAAAGGTAGCATGAAGGGGACCTGCAAGCATGTGGGTTTTCCTGGTTGTGGAGGGAGAAAATGCTTTAAAACTCTTTGCCTGGAGTCTCAACTTTGCCACATCATAATGTGATGTGGCATGTTGCCAGTATCTTGGCTTCCCTGGGGTGTGTCTCATTAGCCAGAGGGTCTCTGTCTCCAGGAAAGTGGGCTTGGCCCAGGCCCTTGGCTTAGGAATGCTGTGTCTGTGGGTGCATGGCTATGATCTGATCCCAAGCCTATCTTCTAGTGATTGACAGTTGCACAGTGGCCATGGCTTCCAACGACACACCTGAAGGGGTGCGGTATATTTCCTCGAATGTCTGTGGTCCCCACGGGAAGTGCAAGAGTCAGTCGGGAGGCAAATTCACCTGTGACTGTAACAAAGGCTTCACGGGAACATACTGCCATGAAAGTAAGACTCCGTCATCCGGGAAGGGACCAGTGCTCCCCAGTCTGCCCCTGCCCCTGCCCCGCCCTGGGATCATTGGTGTTGAAAGTTTTTTCTTTTTTCTTTTTTTTTTTTGAGACCAAATTTCACTGCTCTTGCCCAGGCTAGAGTGCAGTGGCGCCATCTTGGCTCACTGCAACCTTGGCCTCCCACGTTCAAGCGATTCTCCTGCCTGCCTCAGCCTTCCTCAGTTGCTGGGATTACAGGCATGCGCCACCATGCCCAGCTAATTTTGTATTTTTAGTAGAGATGGGGTTTCCCCATGTTGGTCAGGCTGGTCTTGAACTCCCAACCTCAGATGATCCGCCCCCCGCTACTCGGCCTCCCAAAGTGCTGGGATTACAGGTGTGAGCCACTGCACCCCACAGTGTTGAAATTGTTTTAATCAGAAACAGCAAGGCTGGGGAAGACCGGTCGAGGCTTATCCTTACATCTGGATCTAAGACTGAGGTCGTGTTCAATTTACCAGATCACTCTGCCTCGGAGCCTCCATATCTATGTTGGAACATTCTGGAATGTTGCTAGGTTGGGTGGTTCCTCTTTAGGAGTTTCTTCCCCACTTTCACCAAGTACAGGTGACTGAATGCCCATGTGAGGGCATTAAGTGGGTAAAGCACTCTGGAAGTTTCTGCTTGATAAGCCACCTAATTTGAGAAACAGCCCTGATGGAGGGTGGCAGGTGGAGGTGCCAGGTGCATTGTGTCAGGAGGGAGCCATGAAAACTGCCGAACAGTGCTTGTCTATGGCTTCACTTGTCCTTCAGCTCTTTTTTTTTGCTTTGTTTGGTAGATATTAATGACTGTGAGAGCAACCCCTGTAGAAATGGTGGTACTTGCATCGATGGTGTCAACTCCTACAAGTGCATCTGTAGTGACGGCTGGGAGGGGGCCTACTGTGAAACCAGTGAGTCTGCCACTGTTTGGGGAGCTCTGGGATGTATGGGTCATGTTGGAGGGATCCCACTTCAACGTGGGAAATCTTTCTTTGTCCTGGAAATCTCTGGAAGCAAGACCCCAGTGATTTCTGCAATGGGACAGTATCACTTGTGTCTCATTTGCGTTTGAGTACTGATGACAGCTTATGGGGAGGAACTTCTGCTGAGGAGCTATAGAATTAGACTGTGTAATAAATATTCCTGCTTGCAAGGAAAGTCATATTTCTACTTTAATTTCCATGGGACTTCCAGAGGCCCACCCCACATCTTGCCTAACTTGTGGCATTCAAAGTAACCTGGTTGGGAGCTCCTTTATTCCTGGAAAAGCCTGATTGTGTTAAAGTACTATGACTGTGGCTGTTCTCAGAATAGGGTGTTGGATGTAGCAGTAGGAAAGGCTTGGCTCTCGCCTGTCGTGAGTGGTCCTGGACTTGGTCTTCAGCCGATTGTCTCCTCTTTGATTCTAGATATTAATGACTGCAGCCAGAACCCCTGCCACAATGGGGGCACGTGTCGCGACCTGGTCAACGACTTCTACTGTGACTGTAAAAACGGGTGGAAAGGAAAGACCTGCCACTCACGTAAGTGGTAGTTGGCCTTGGATGCTATCTCTGAGACCCTTCCCTCTGTCTCCTGTGGGAGGGGGCCACTGGGACTCACACTGAGATATTTTCCTCCAGGTGACAGTCAGTGTGACGAGGCCACGTGCAACAACGGTGGCACCTGCTATGATGAGGGGGATGCTTTTAAGTGCATGTGTCCTGGCGGCTGGGAAGGAACCACCTGTAACATAGGTAACTTTCTGCCCCACGTGGGATCTGCAGTGGGCATGGCCACCTGGGCGTGTCTGCTGGTTGGCCCCTGGAGCTTATGATATTTCTCTGGGCCTGGTTCTTGCCCCTCCAGACTGTTTCTGGATACTCAGGGAGGGTGGTCGTGTCTGCTCTTCTTTATAGCCCGAAACAGTAGCTGCCTGCCCAACCCCTGCCATAATGGGGGCACATGTGTGGTCAACGGCGAGTCCTTTACGTGCGTCTGCAAGGAAGGCTGGGAGGGGCCCATCTGTGCTCAGAGTGAGTGTCCTCCCCCTTGAACTCTCCCAGGGCTGTCGGAGCAGATCCTGACACCCTTGGGGACTTGCAATGGAAACCAGAAGCAGAGCTGTTTGATGTCTGCTTTTGTATCACCTGGGTCTGCATTAATGACTTGATGGGATACAGCCCTGACCTGGGCATGAGAAAGTCGCCAATGAGATAAGTGGAGACAGATGGCGTCTCAGTTCCCAGCTCTGGGTCTGACCAGCAGCCTGTCTCCTTCCATTCTCACCCCCACCCCTATCCCCTACCAGGGCCTCTTCCTGTGTACATGTGTCCCACAGCAAAACTAAGTGTGGTGCGGGCCTGGTTCCAATTTAGCGAAGGTATTTTGCTGGTGTTAACTACGACTTTATCATTTGGGTATTAAGGAAATAAGTGGTGGTTTTACTTAGGGCTAAGACCGCTTTCCCTTTTGAAGGCCTCACTATTAAGTTGTCTTTTCTTTGCAGATACCAATGACTGCAGCCCTCATCCCTGGTAAGTGTGACGTCCTTTTAAGCCAGCACTCATCCAGTATCGTGTGCGTGTGTGTGTGTGTGTGTGTGTGAATCACCCAGGGATCGTGTGTAAAATGCAAGTTCTGAGTCAGGAGGTCTGGGGTGGGGCTTCAGACTGCTTTTCTAACAAGCTCCCAGGTGAAGCGATCCTGCTGCTCCACGGACCACACTTTAATTAGCCAGCTTGTGTCCTCATTTAGAGCAGTGATTTTTCAACCTTGGCTGCACACCAGAATCACCTGGGAGCTTTTAAAAATCCCACTGCCTGGGCTGCAACCAAGACCTATGAAATTAGACTTTCTGGGGGTGGGACCCAGGCATCAGTATTCTTTAAAGTTCCCCAGGCAATAGCCATGGGGTGAGAGCCACTGACTGTAACTGGTGTGGTGACATGCGAGTGACTGGCAGCCAGAGTCACGGACTGGGAGGTTGGTAACCAAGGCGGTCTTTGCTTTCTCAGTTACAACAGCGGCACCTGTGTGGATGGAGATAACTGGTACCGGTGCGAATGTGCCCCGGGTTTTGCCGGACCTGACTGCAGAATAAGTAAGGACTGTCCCTGTCTAATTTTCCCAATGGCTTTACCCCTTCATTCCATACCTCAGCCCGAGACTTTCATCTTTAAAAACAAAGCCACCGTTCCGTTTAAGTAGCTCTCAGAGAGCAAGGATCTCCCTCTTCCAGCTGGGATTAAGATATCCCAGGCTGGATCCTCCCAGGTACCTGCTGGTGGTTCCCTGGGTGGTGTCGCCCTCCTTGTTCTTGGGGAGAGAGTGCCAGCCACAGAATCTGATGATTACACTGGGGTCCTGAAGAAAGTGTGTGCATTTCCCCGTGACTAACATGAAATTATGGGCAAGCAGACATTAACCGCAGCTACACTGGTATAGGATAGAGCTAATACAAACGGAAGGGAGGACGACTGTGGCTTCCAGAGGCTTGTCTCTGCTGGGTCTGATCAGGCCCTGGAGAAATGACTAAAATAGGAAAATACGGGCAGGCAGTGCAGTTTTTCAAGAAGTTTAAAACGTATTATTTCGAGCCTTTTGTCTAATTTTTTTTTTTACAAGCCCTTTCTCTTACAGAACAAAAAAAGGTGCTAGAGTAGTTATGGTTTGATTCTTGTACCCAAATTGTCTGAAATTTTACTGGTGCTTGAAATCCAAGTCTGGGATTAACTAGTCTTCAGCACTAGATGGGGGCAGGTTGTGTCTGTTTCATGTTTCTAAATAAACAGTTGGCAAACTGTGGCCTAGGGGCTGTATCCAGCCCACTTTCTGTTTTTATACATACAGTTTTCTTGGCATAGAGCCACACATTCATTTACGAATTGTCTATGGCTACTTTCATGATACCACAAGAGTTGAATAGTTGTGACAGAGACTATATACTCCACAAAGCCCGGCGTGTTTACCGTCTGACCCTTTCCAGGAAACTTTGCCAGGCTTGCTGTAAATTGCACTGTCAGAGAAAGGAATCAAATTAAAAATTGCTGCCTCCCAAAATGGTTCTCCGCTGTTAGAACTCAGGATGGTGGTGGTCTTTGGGGGCCAGTGATTGGAGATTTTTGCAATAGATGATCTGTTTCTTCTTTTGGATGCTGCTTACCTGAGTGAAAATTCATCAAGCTTATGATAATATGCTTTTCTAGTACATTATGTCAACAAAAATCTCAAAACATTGCTACAAACCATCAGTCCCTAAACTTGAACTCCATTTCTCCTAGACATCAATGAATGCCAGTCTTCACCTTGTGCCTTTGGAGCCACCTGTGTGGATGAGATCAATGGCTACCGGTGTGTCTGCCCTCCAGGGCACAGTGGTGCCAAGTGCCAGGAAGGTATGTGTGCCAGGCTCCAGCTGCCCATGGTTCTTCTGGGGTGAGCGACCTTTGCAGTCACCATTTTGACTTTTCACAAATAAGCCACTGTGCTCAGGGAGGGAACACATAGTGGGGGGCTGCAAGGAAAAGGAAACGTGAGGAGTCTTCCCCAAAACAGGTAGCTGTTTTTGGTCAGCTGTTGCTACAATACTGTGTACCAAACCATCCCAAACTGCTGTGGCTTGTAGCAAGCATTATTTTTACCGCTTACGATATGCAGCATGGGCAGAAAGACTGTGCTGTGGGTTGGGTTCAGTTCGGCCAGTGGCTGTGTCTGGGGCACATTCCCTTCGTTGCCAATGGTAGGCGTGCAAGAGGCTGGTCACAGGCTCTGCTTACATCACATCTGCCAATGTTATATTGGCCAGAGCAGGTCTTGTGGCCAAGCGCAGAGCCAGCAAAGGTAGGAGGTATACATGCTGTTACTGTGGGAAGAATGATCTTAACATAGCAAAGGGCACAGGTGTAACCATTTCATAACAGGGACCAAAGAATTGAACCCTGATCCGGTTCACAGAAAAATAAACTGCTCACCAGTCTCCACCTGTCAGTTTCAGGGAGACCTTGCATCACCATGGGGAGTGTGATACCAGATGGGGCCAAATGGGATGATGACTGTAATACCTGCCAATGCCTGAATGGACGGATCGCCTGCTCAAAGGTAGGACATGATGGCTGCCGCAATTCACCTGTGTTCTGGAATCAGGGGTGAGCATGCCTGCTAAGCTGCCAGCTTCTGTTTTTCTCCAGGTCTGGTGTGGCCCTCGACCATGCCTGCTCCACAAAGGGCACAGCGAGTGCCCCAGCGGGCAGAGCTGCATCCCCATCCTGGACGACCAGTGCTTCGTCCACCCCTGCACTGGTGTGGGCGAGTGTCGGTCTTCCAGTCTCCAGCCAGTGAAGACGAAGTGCACCTCTGACTCCTATTACCAGGATAACTGTGCGAACATCACATTTACCTTTAACAAGGAGATGATGTCACCTGTACGTAACAACTTTTTGTTTTTATTTTGGAATGGTGGATGTCTGCTTGCTTGCTTTAAAGGAGGAATGTCATGAGCTAGGATCTAGTTCTCCCTAGCCTCAATTTCTGTTTTATAGTAAAGTGAGCTTGAACTTAGCCCAGCCTCAAAGAGAACATCTCAGCCTTTTGTTCTTCCTCTCAATCTTATGTGTGTGGGTTTTTAAAATCGTTGTAGGGTCTTACGACAGAGCACATTTGCAGTGAATTGCGGAATTTGAATATTTTGAAGAATGTTTCTGCTGAATATTCAATCTACATTGCTTGTGAGCCTTCCCCTTCAGCGAACAATGAAATACATGTGGCCATTGTAAGTATAAGACCCATTCACACCTCACTATTCGACTGCAAGGCAGTTAACAAACTTCGGTTAACCAGTGTCTGAATGGAGCAAATTCACTGACAAAAAGCTTTGCAGACACAGATTGTCAAGTAGTTTTGAAGAAAGGCTGCTTTGACTATTCCCCTGACTCTCAAGTCTGATCATTCTTTTTCCAGTCTGCTGAAGATATACGGGATGATGGAAACCCGATCAAGGAAATCACTGACAAAATAATCGATCTTGTTAGTAAACGTGATGGAAACAGCTCGCTCATTGCTGCTGTTGCAGAAGTGAGAGTGCAGAGGCGGCCTCTGAAGAACAGAACAGGTAGGTGTCAAGTGGGACTAGTTTATTTGTGTGATGGCAGATGATCTCATTACACTTCAATAAAGCCATCAGGTCGGGGGATTACTTGGCAGTGTCCTACCCTTGCAGGAGCTCCCAATTTAACTGAGAACTGAGGGCAGCCTACTTGACTAAGGTCACATGGCCCATGAGAATAGAGATCTGCCTCATATTTTCCTTCCTAACACACTATGCAATGTTCCCTGCAGAACAGGTATTGTGCCTAGATCCATGACAAAGCCCTAGGACACTGCTTGTCCTTTGTCCTTGAGTCTGAAGCTGTACAAAGCCTGACTTGGCATTTAGGTGTCCTGGGACAGCCCAGCCACTGCTGAGGGCTGTGAGGCTCGATGGCCCTGCAGGGTGTCCAGGCTTCCCTCCTGAGGATCTCGAGCACCGTTTCAGCCAAGAGAGAGATTGGGCATGGAGCCATGGCACGTTTGAGCTGTCTGTGCTAATTTGAATCGGGTTTCTAGTTCTGAAAACTGACTCCTGTACTGAGCTGCCTCAGTGGCCAGACTTAACAAGACACTGCTCTCCCCATGTGAAGTCAAAGAGCCTGTAGGAGCTGCTGCTCCACCCAGTCTCTCCAGGGATAAGAGTATCAAGGTCTACAGGGGCCTGATTCCAGCATTTGCTTATCAAGTTGTGAAGTGACCATATGCAATGATGAAAAGGGACTTGTCCCTGTGGCCCCCCTCTGAGGGACAAAGGGCAGGAGAACCACTGTTGGTATTCTTTTGTTCCTGCGGTGACGCTTTTTTCTTTCTTTCTTGGAGAGTTAATTGGTTTTGTGCCTGCCTTACAGATTTCCTGGTTCCCTTGCTGAGCTCTGTCTTAACCGTGGCTTGGATCTGTTGCTTGGTGACGGCCTTCTACTGGTGCTTGCGGAAGCGGCGGAAGCCGGGCAGCCACACACACTCGGCCTCCGAGGACAACACCACCAACAATGTGCGGGAGCAGCTGAACCAGATCAAAAACCCCATTGAGAAACATGGGGCCAACACCGTCCCCATCAAGGATTACGAGAACAAGAACTCCAAAATGTCTAAAATAAGGACACACAACTCCGAAGTAGAAGAGGACGACATGGACAAACACCAGCAGAAAGCCCGGTTTGCCAAGCAGCCGGCGTACACGCTGGTAGACAGAGAAGAGAAGCCCCCCAACGGCACGCCGACAAAACACCCAAACTGGACAAACAAACAGGACAACAGAGACTTGGAAAGTGCCCAGAGCTTAAACCGGATGGAGTACATCGTATAGCAGACCGCGGGCACTGCTGCCGCTAGGTAGAGTCTGAGGGCTTGTAGTTCTTTAAACTGTCGTGTCATACTCGAGTCTGAGGCTGTTGTTGACTTAGAATCCCTGTGTTAATTTAAGTTTTGACAAGCTGGCTTACACTGGCAATGGTAGTTTCTGTGGTTGGCTGGGAAATCGAGTGCCGCATCTCACAGCTATGCAAAAAGCTAGTCGACAGTACCCTGGTTGTCTGTCCCCCTGCAGCCGACACGTCTCGGATCAGGCTCCCAGGAGCCTGCCCAGCCCCCTGGTCTTTGAGCTCCCACTTCTGCCAGATGTCCTAATGGTGATGCAGTCTTAGATCATAGTTTTATTTATATTTATTGACTCTTGAGTTGTTTTTGTATATTGGTTTTATGATGACGTACAAGTAGTTCTGTATTTGAAAGTGCCTTTGCAGCTCAGAACCACAGCAACGATCACAAATGACTTTATTATTTATTTTTTTTATTGTATTTTTGTTGTTGGGGGAGGGGAGACTTTGATGTCAGCAGTTGCTGGTAAAATGAAGAATTTAAAGAAGAAAAAAATGTCAAAAGTAGAACTTTGTATAGTTATGTAAATAATTCTTTTTTTTATTAATCACTGTGTATATTTGATTTATTAACTTAATAATCAAGAGCCTTAAAACATCATTCCTTTTTATTTATATGTATGTGTTTAGAATTGAAGGTTTTTGATAGCATTGTAAGTGTTAAGGCTTTTTTTTTTTTTTTTTTTTTTGAATTCTTCTCATTACTTGTTGCCTATAAGCCAAAATTAAGGTGTTTGAAAATAGTTTATTTTAAAACAATAGGATGGGCTTCCGTGCCCAGAATACTGATGGAATTTTTTTGTACGACGTCAGATGTTTAAAACACCTTCTATAGCATCACTTAAAACACGTTTTAAGGACTGACTGAGGCAGTGTGAGGATTAGTCTAGAACAGGTTTTTTGTTTTTTTGTTTTTCTGCTTTAGACTTGAAAAGAGACAGGCAGGTGATCTGCTGCAGAGCAGCAAGGGAACAAGTTGAGCTATGACTTAACGTAGCCAAAATGTGAGTGGTTGAATATGATTAAAAACATCAAATTAATTGTGTGAAGTTGGAAGCACACCAATCTTACTTTGTAAATTCTGATTTCTTTTCACCATTCGTACGTAATACTGAACCACTTGTAGATTTGAATTTTTTTTTTTAATCTGCATTTAGGGAGTATTCTAATAAGCTAGTTGAATACTTGAACCATAAAATGTCCAGTAAGATCACTGTTTAGATTTGCCATAGAGTACACTGCCTGCCTTAAGTGAGGAAATCAAAGTGCTATTACGAAGTTCAAGATCAAAAAGGCTTATAAAACAGAGTAATCTTGTTGGTTTACCATTGAGACCGTGAAGATACTTTGTGTTGTCCTATTAGTGTTATATGAACATAAAAATGCATCTTTGATGTGTTGTTCTTGGCAATAAATTTTGAAAAGTAATATTTATTAAATTTTTTTGTATGAAAACATGGAACAGTGTGGCCTCTTCTGAGCTTATGTAGTTCTACCCGGCTTTGCCTTGTGCATCTGCCACCCTGCTGAGTCTGTTCTGGTAATCGGGGGTATAATAGGCTCTGCCTAACAGGCATGGAGGAAGAACTGAAAGGCTTTTCAACCACAAAGCTCATCTGAAGTTCTCAAAGACCTGGGGCTGCTGTGAAGCTGGAGCTGCGGGAGCCCCATCTAGGGGAGCCTTGATTCCCTTGTTATTCAACAGCAAGTGTGAATACTGCTTGAATAAACACCACTGGATTAATGGCCTGTAGTGTGGAGGTGAATTGTTTGTGAGCAATCAGGGGAACTGGCCACCGCACTGAAAGGGTTTTAAAGGGTTTGGAATTGGTGTTGGGAAATGAGCAGGGAGATTTAATGTCTGCCTTTTTTTTTTCCCTGGCTACTCAGATTCATATTAATGTCCTGTTGTAAGGGTGTGGTCTGAAATGACTCTTGTGCACATTTACCCATGGGGTGGTTTCCTCACGGCACAGGAGGTGGTAGTTGCAAGCTTCTGGCATTCGGGCTCATCACTCATCACCTTGTTCCCAGGGAATGAGTGTTCTGGCCTCACCATGCAGTCTTGGAGTGCTGGTGTTCTGGTCTTCTGTGAGGTTCCAGAGTTGGGGCTGTCCCCACTTGTCACGGGCAGGAGAGCTCTGGTTCTCTCACTTGTGGCTGGTGGAGGCCCTGCCCCCGCATCGCGTGGTGGGGTGTGGGAGAAGCTTTGCCTCTGGTACCTCTGCGGAAGGAAAGAGCTGTGGTAACAAGCACATGGACAGCTTCCAGCAGCCGTGCAGAGTCACCAGGAGTTCCCTGCTTCTGGTTAGGAAAGCCAAAGCTCACCCTTCTCAGAGCCATCCCCCAGCGCTTCAACATTCAGGCCTGTCCACACACGTCCGGTGTTCATACAACTGGCACAGCAAACTTTGGAGGAAAAGCTGATGGGAATATTTTTCTTTGTTCTCGGGAAAGCTTTTATTTTTTCTTCTAGGCTTGGAGTTGTGCTAAGGAACATCTTGATTAAGAATGAAAGATGGGCTTTAAGTGTCCCGGGCTCCCTGTGCATGAGCAGAGACCATCAAGGGATTCGGGGTTGTGACAACCCAAAGAGTGGCCAACACCATTTTGGCTTATTGGGGAGGTAGCCTGAAGGACCCGGACAGTGAAGAGTTGAGGTTCCCATGACATCTCGCTCTACCCTAGCGTAGCTCTGCTTTGTCACTAATGTCTGCTGGGTTTCTGTAAGGTGGGGTCAAAGGGAGGGAGAAGTGTAGATTCTACTGGACAGGGGACAGTCATTTCGCAGAGTGGAGTCAAACACTATCCTGAAGCAAAACCTTGTTCTGGTGGTTTGTAAACTTGGATTCTGTAGGACCCCAGAATTCCTTGGGTAGCTGCCAGATGCTTTTGTGCCAAGAAAAAAAAAGTTGAATGAGCCTCTGCAATTCTATATTCCAGGAGGGAAGGGATCTTGGGATTCATGGGTGGTGTCTTATCTCACCTTCTGTCAGGGACACCCGTGGTATTGGGAGGGCATAGATCAGGCTCCTCTAGACATGCCTCAGTGCCAGGACTTTAATTGTGAAGGGTGAATTTTCCCCTTCAGGAAAAAGGAAGCAGGCAATGGTGCTCTGGTTATCCTTGGGGGTTAGGGAAGTAGAGAGGAAGGGACTCAGTGCCTTTACCATTCATTCCCCAGGAACACTCTGGGCTCTCTTTAAAGGGGCCCTGGAAGGCCCCTGAAATTTTCAGTCCGGAAACTTGGCCAACTAGAACTCTAGCATTAGAATATCCCACGCAACTCTAGGAAAGAACACTTAAAGCTGGTGTTCTTAGGATGGGAAGCTCTGTCCTGAGATTCTATACTTACCTGATGTAGAATTTGAATAGAAAGTGGAGGGGGACGATATATCTTAATTGACTAAAAGCCAAATGAGACTGATGATTTGTGAGAGGGTTTACAATTTTAAGATGCAGATTCCCAGGCCCGGTCCATGACCCTGTTAGACCAGATGCACCAGAAGTGGAGCCTGGGAATTTGAATTTTTGACAAGCTCGCTCTTCTTCCCCCACTCATGCACTCTAAAAATTGGGAGCAACTCTGCTAAAGTGCTACAGTACCAGCTCTTCACTAATTATAATGTTTTTCCTCCTTGTTAAACTGAATTAAATAGCCTGGAAGCCAGTTTGTTGCTAAATTGCCACCTGACATCATTTTTAAGTAAAATAATTACACTGCCCCTTGAGCAAGTTGTGGTCTAAGTGCTTCACGCCTATTAGCTGATCTGAGGGGTCAGTGAGTCAAAATTAACTTATTCTGTAATATTTCTTAGGTAGCAAGGAGCCAAATGGGCCAGAGCGTGGGTTTCCCACCTTTCCAAATGGCTTACACCTGTGTGCTCGTGCTCCAAAGTGAGCAAATGTGCAGCAAAAAACCAGTTGCCTTTAAAGGAAAAAAAAAGTTCTACAGGCCTATCGGGCTTTGAAACTTGGGCTGAGTGATGCTCCATTTCCGTTTCGACTGTGGGTCTCTTTCTTGCCTCTACTGGGAATGAGAAACAGGAGTTCAGAGGTTCCTGGTCTGGGAAGACATACAAGCACATGGGTTATGGGAAGCCTCCTCCTGCTAATGTGTATTTATACTTTGTAAGCTCTGATTCATCCAAGCATTGGAACAGAAATCTGCTTCCTGAGGTTCTGTTTTTAAATAGATAGTTTGCAAAAACAACAATTATTTTTCTTAACATTTTTTTTCCACCCCACAAGCAGCTAAACAACCCAGCTCAGGGTATGTCAGTCTCCAGCAATGCCAACAAACAGCTTGGTTATCTGAACTAGAAGGGTGCCCTAAGGCAGTTCTCTACGGTTCTGGCCCCAGAAGTCTTAAAAACAAAGTTTAGAAACCATTAGGGCAATCTTGTTGCATCACTTCAAATCCACGAGGTATTTCGGGGTCTATTAAAAATAATGAATTTCCGTTTGCGAACCATTGCCTTCCAATGGCTGTTAAAATAAAACTAAGAGCAGGTTGGGGGGAGTGATGCTTGTAGGGCTGCCGTGGTATCGCTGCCTGGCAGCCGAGGAGCCTAAATCCTGCACGGCACCCTCTGAGATCATGTCAAAAGGGTGCGGCTCTCTTGCTTTGGACATATATTCTACCTGTATTACTTGCTCTTGCATGCTGGGCACAACCTTCCTGGCTTAGAGTGTGTTTCTTTCAAGTCCAAGGCAGCTTTTACAAGTCTCAAATTATGTATCATTATGCCTGGGTCCAGTATTAACCTGTGATATGCAAGTCAGGAAAATTAACCTGGAGAATAAAGGCACTTAAATCCAGTAAGAACCTTGAATTGAGGCCTGCCTGCTGCCTTCTCCAACCCACCCGCACTGCAAATATCCACACCAGGGCACCCAAGGGTTGAGTTATCCAGAAAGCAAATGCAGATGCCAGCAACATGAAAGTAACAGCTTTGTTTTAAAGAGAAGCTCTCTTGGCAGGGCTGGTGGTGCTCATCGGTGATCCCGGAGGGAAATACAAGTTTGCAGCTGGCTTCCTAATCACTACTCAGGCAACCAAACAGGTTGGCCCCCTCTGTTCTGCACCTGAAGAGTGAAAAGCTGTTTTAATTCATCCTGGCGGAGATATGTGCAGTTGAAATACCTTTATCGTAGATGTTACACGTGAAATACCTTTATCAGAGGATGTTAATGCAATCAAGGACCTTACCCATCAAAGGATCCAACCCCTACTTCTTTCCCAGAAGAGGAAACTGAGGCCCAGAGAGGTTCAAGGTCTCGTCCGAGGTTATACAGAGAGTTAGCAACAGCCAGAACTAGAACTTGGGGCTCCTGCTTCCTGGGCTGCTGTGTTTTCTGCCTCTTCTGGGAATTTGCTAGGTTTATGCCTGGATCCTGCCCTTAGTGTGATTTTCAAGGGTAAAGCCTTGGGAGATCAGCACCTCACAAAAAATGGATGCAAAGACTCAAGGGAGGTCACAGGAGGCGGCTGCTAAGACAGTGTCGCCAATCTGAGCTGGTTCCGCCTAGAAAGTGACATCTGTATAAATCCGGGAGCAATAGGTGTTTTCTCCATCAAAGGGAGATTAAGCTCTGCTCCTTTGTAGGTTGTTCTTTTGTTCTTGGGAAGTTTCCGATTTCCCTTTTAGCTTTTGCTTCATAGAATTAAAATGAGTCGCAGGAAAAGAGGTTCAGAAAGGAAATCAACAGGCTCACTAGGTCCTACTGCTCCCTGTGTGTGTGCACACATGTGCACACATGTACATTTTACAGGCGTTTTCAGAACAGCGCTGCTGCTCACCGGGTCTGAGATGCAGGTGCCAGGGTCTTGGCCAGTGTCAAGTGATTGCAATTACCATTAGGCCTCATCCCATGTTCCCTAACCACTCCCACTCCCCCTGGCAGCTTCCTTCCAGGTAATCACCACAAAAACACCTGAGCATTTAACAGGACTAAAATCCAGATCGCTTGAATGTGATGAAGTTCGCCACGTCTAGTGTGCGGTTGGGCCAGTTCAGACACACCTGACAGTTCCTGGAACTGCCTGTGGGCAGCTCTGCTTCCTCCACCTGACATCCCCAAAAGGCTACACCTCCACACTCTGCCCCACCTGGCACTGATGGATTAGCAAAATCTCCCACAAGTCATCCTTAACCTGTTTGTCATGTCAGGGTAGGCCAGACGTACATTCTGTGTAGAAGTTTCCTCTGCGCCCAGACACCCACACTGAGTGACTTGGAAAAACCCCATCCCCAAGACAGAAACATAAACCCCCCAAGTTCAGGACATGAACAATCAGATGCCCTCTGGGGCTCTCTCTGGCTTTGCAGTGATGTTATTTTGGAAGAATTTTTAAATAATTCAAGGCATAAAGCAGAAAGGAAGAGCGCAAATGTGACACACCATACAGGTTTGCAACAGACTAAGGAAGAAAGTGCCTCTAGTAAAGAAAAGGGAGTGGGAAGGGGCCGGGAGGGACCACAACCTCTGGCTTTCTCCATCTCCAAGCCCCGTCATTTCCGCGCTTCCTGTGAGCTCTCAGTGGGACAGTGTTGGCTGCAGTGCAGTTACAAAAGAGGTCCTGAACATCTCCTGCAGAGCATTCAGCCTCCACGTGGGCCTGATCCTTCCTTCACTAGACTGTTACTTTCACCTTCTTGGTGTGCAAAGCCGGGCTGTGTGCTTAGTGGTCAAGAGCATGCATTCTGGAGTAAGACTTCTTTGGTTCCAATCGCAGCTCTTCCTCCCAGCTCCCGGTTTGAAATTTTCCACCTGTGTGTACTAACAACACAGTTTCTGGGCTTTGAGGTTTGCCAGATCTGGATTCTAGGCACTGCCATTTACTAACTTGGGAAAGTTTCCAAAGTTCTTTGTGCCTCAGTTTCCTCATCTGTCATGGTGACAATAAATGTGTGCCACTGTAGTATTCATGAAAAGGGCTACAGGAAAAGGAAAGAACACTGCTTTCAGTATTTGCTCTAAGCAACCATTAAAAGATTAAGGAATTCAGCTAGATTCCAACTGACACTCTACTTTCTCACCATTGCTCCATTAAACTGGGCCCGTCAGAGAAGAGCTAAGTGCTGTTGGATGTGGTCGTAGGCAGGACTCCATGATGGCTCCCAAAGGTCCCTGGCCCCTGGTTATTCAATCAAACACTAATCCTGGTACTGCTGTGAAGGGATTTTGCAGATGTCATTAGAGTCTCAAATCTGTTAGCCTTCAAATACAGATTATCCAGGTGGGGCTGGCCTAATTACAGGAGGTTTTTAAAAGCAGAGAGGTTTCTCTGGCTGGTCACAGAAGAAGTCAGAGATTCAAAGCACGAAAGTGATTCAATGCCAAGGCTTCTCCATTAACGAAATGGATGGGGTCACGTGGCAAGGACCCGCGGAATGGCTTCTAGGAGGTCCCCTGCCAACAGCCAGCGGGACAATGCGGATCTTAGTCCTACAAATGTAAGGAACTGAATTCTGCCAACAAGGGAGCTTGGCAGCGGACCTTTCCCTGGTTGAGCATCTGGATGAGGATGCAGCCTGGCTGAAGCCCTGATTTCAGCCTATGAGACCCTGAGCAGAGGACCCAGCTAAGAAGTGTCGAAAACTGTGAGATAATAAACTTATGTTGTCTTAAGTCTCTCAATTTACGGTAATTTGTTACACAGGGATAGAAAATGAACATAGGCTTCTTCTAAAAAGGATCGTACCAGGCTCTGTCACTTGTAGGTGTTATATTTGGTTGTGACTATACAAATCGTTGTTAGCTTTTTCCCTGATCAATTCAGAGCCGGCTTCCAGTGTAGGAGAAAGAAAAGCTCATTCAAGACAAGAATGAACTATAGGACTGCACAAAACGTGGTGCCTAATTGAAGTCTACAACAGTGTGTGGTCTGTGAGTGTCGACAGCTGTCTACAGCCTGCGAATAATGAGAATAGAACAGTTTTTTCCTCTATATCCCTCGAAACCCCTATTTTATAAAATTCATGCCAAATGAGGTAAGCTTAGATACCTGGCCTTGGAGGACTCCAGGACACTCAAGTCTTGACATAGTCTTCTCTCCTTATGAAATGAGATAATGTTGGACTTCCATTTTCTGGAGGTTTTCAGTGGGTTGGGCATTTCAGAAATACTTTGTATTCCCACCCCCGGCTTCCTCAGAGGCTTCTCCTACAAGGAAGTTCCCTTCTTGGCTGTCGTCACTCCACAGTGGCCATTTCTTTGGCACTGAGAAGGGGCTAAATGTGAAGCCAAAGTTTCTCTCCCACCATCTCTCTGCTAGGATTGCCCTTGCATGGAGGGCAAGGCAGGTGGCTTAGGCAGACATGCACAGCTGCTAGCAGAAAATCAAGGTTTCTCTTAAGTTCAGTGAGCTTTTCTAAAACATTATCAGGACCTGGAATTAGACTTGACAGACATGCAAAACAAGAACCAAAGTTGTTTCTACAACTGGAGCCCAGAAGAACATGAGATTTGGTAAACCGGTACCAGGAAATGCTATCTTCAAGGGAAAACAAGGACAATTTGCTGTAGAAAATTCACAGATGGACGCAGAGACTCCTTGTCTTTGAGCTTGTGTAAAGATTTTATTGAAATCTAGAAGGTTATTCCTGGTGAAGATGCTTGTTGGTATCAAAACAAGAACCCCAAAGCAACCCAGATCCCCAACACCTCTGGCGTAGAAAACTCTGCCGCCTACAAGTGCCTTCAGATTGATGGGGCATTTTCATGGGAGAGCCACCTGAGAATAGTCTTTTCTAGATGCCCCAGGCTCTGCCACAGGCAGACAGTCCACATGCTAAGCAGTAGGGCACTGGGACAAGGCTCACTGGGGCAGCATTTTAAGGAGAATATATGAATACAGCAGTGTTGCTGCTTCACAAGGTCCTTCTCCAGTGCTGTGACAGGAAGGTCCCTCTAGGCTCCTCCTCCTGGGACACATCCCAAACACCCAGCCCAGTCTCCCACCTCCTGGCTGAGGGCTGCCCTGATTTACCATTCCACCTCTCCCTCTGACAACAGGAATGGATGCGCTGGTATTCATCTTCCCAGGCACCCACCCTGGGTTTGGGAAAGAGCCTTTTGCGTTCTTCTCACCAGTCAAGCGTGTGAAGGAGGAACTGAAAAGGCCTTGGGAGCTGCTGGGCCTAGAAAAATTCCCAGTCAATCCATCACCTGCCTCCTCTGGAGCAGGGTCTGTCAGTCTCTCCACTGTTCCTGGGGCAGGTGGAGAGAGGGATGTGAAGCAACGAGTGGAAATGAGGTGGGAGAGAGAGTGTGTGTGTGTGTGTGTGTGTGTGTGTGTGTGTGTGTGTGTGTGTGTGTGTGTGTGTGTGTGTGTGTCTAAGCGCAGAACAGGACTGGTAACAGAAGTGCAAGTGAGAGGGCGTGGGAGACTGGGAACTCATTTATAAAAGCTCTTCTGCCCTAAAGCAAGTCAAACTCCCTGCTGAGGAGTTGCTTTTTCTTCCTCCCTTTTGAGTCTTGTGTGCTGAACTGACCTCTCCCCTGGCAGAGGTCAGCGTTCTGCTCACCCCGCACACACTCAGCCTTCTGGGGTTTGATCGCCTTAGAGCCTGAAGAGGAGAGAATTCTTCAGCTCTAATTTCTGAGAGAAAAGCCATAGTAAATCTTGTGAAGAAGCTTTTTTTTTTTTTTTTTTTAAAGACATATATATACACGTTATGATAAAAATCTTTTGGGAACTGTGCAGAAAACAAAAAGCAAACATAAAAACCATACATCATTATATAGCCCCCTCCCACAGCCTACTTCACTCCTAAAATACATCAGGCTGGGTAATGAATGAGGTTTTAAGAAATGCAACTGAACTTAAAATACAAGGTCAGTATCTCATCCTAGGTAATCCTTTGGAGGATGAGAAATTCTCCTGATTTTCCCACAGGGTTATTTCAGATGCACTTTCTGAGCCAAACTATTTTAAAAGCGTTCATTCTTCCACTGCCCTGCCAAATGCTAACTTGAGATTCACACGCACTTTTAGAGAGCCTATTAATGATATTAATGATCATGATCAAAGGCAAACCCCAGAGGTTTATGTAAAAATTTCAGACAATTATTTAGGTGCTTTAAAGACCCATCTTCTGAACGAGGGTAACAATTTCTCAATGTTGGCAAAGATGAGGGGTGTGTTGGGATGTGTAGGTTCTAAAGCAGCAGAACCAATGCAGAGGGGCCTTCAGAAGAAAACAAAAGACATCTCTTTGTAAGGTTAAAATGTATGACTGTCGACTGACACCTTGTCCCCGAAGCCATTCCTACTCATTTACTTGGAAGTAGGTACACTCCTGATTTGCAGAAAGCCCCTCTTCTAAAGAATACTCAGCGGACCCTGTCTCTTTTAACATCTGCTATTTACACGCACACACCACATTTTTAAACAATAGTTCTTAACTATGGTGTCTCCTGAGAATCATCATTTGACGAGCTTTAAAAATACCAACGCCCAGGCCAAACCTCAGGGATTCTGACTGAACTAGGAGCTATCCAGGTGACCCCAGTAGGTGGCCAGTGTAGGGAACCATTTTCAAACAGATGGAGACATTAATACATGGGATGGGAATGTTCATCCCGATGCACTAAAAGCTATGTTTGGCACTTAAAATATTAGAGATAATTTTATTTGACAGATGAAGAAACTGAGGCCTGGGCGGTTGGTTACATGACTTGTACCAAAACATGTAAAACCAACTAGTGGCAAAGCAGCAGCCTGGACCCACGGATTGCAGCTTGCAGCCCCATGCTGTTGGGCAGTCCCCAGATCCCAGGCCCAGCCCCAATGTCCAGGGCAGGGCGTCTTTCCTGTGGGTTCGGCCAGATGGCGGACCACCATGACCAAAACACTAAGAAGAAATGAGCTACGCCTCATCGACTACAGAGGTTCTCAGCATTGCACGCACAGCTATTCAAATGTATTATTCCAACCTGACTGAACTCCTTCTGAAAAGTTATGTACAAAACTAGAGAAACCTGCAGTACTGAAATAAAAGGCAGTGTAGACAGTCAGCCCAGGACTTCATCAGTTCTGAGTAAAGAGTAGATTCACTTGGAAAATACAAATGAATCTACTTGGGGAATGTCAAGATCCTTGGAAAGGAGTCAAAGTGCCATAGTTTAATCCTGCCAAAGACGTCTATCTTAGCTCATAGCTGGGAGCAGAACTGGGAGCAAGTCCACACTGTAAGGAGCACCCCAATAACTGATGGATCAATTTAATCCAAAGGCTTCATGCTGAGTTTTCAATACTTACATCCTGAAGGCCAATGGTTAAATGGAAAGCTCCTCTGATTATTTTACATAGTATTCAAAACTGCAGAATTATTTCAACAAAGAAAACACAAACACTTCTTATAAATAGAGCATAATTTAAAATAGCTGTCTAGAAAAGGGCATTTTTGAATATGTATTTCTTGGGGTTAATTCACTTATTTTTGAAGAACAGAAGTGATACACACTAATTTTTAAAAACAATTTTACTCTTTATTCATAAAACAGTACGTTTCTACTACGTAAGTTTCATCCCCTAGGCATGCACAACCACTTGAACTATTTAAACAGTTTAAAACAAAACAAATGAGAAGATAAGGGAAAAAGAGCTCTCCTGGTGACTTACATAGCTTTTGGTTTTCTAACTTGATTGAAGAAAGTTATTAGGGGAATCTGTCCAATTCACACCTTCTGTTCCCTGATCAAATACTTTAGGGTCAGACATATGGTTTACTGATTTTTTGCTCAAGCAAAGAATTAACATCTTTGATAAGGAATTGTAATGGCAATTATAAGGTAATATGGTGTATGGTAATATTATGCTGCCAAAGGAAACATGTGAATATGATTAAATTCAAGCCCAGTACTGGGTAGCTCTAGATTATTAAAGATAATTTTATCCATTCAAGTCCCCTCTGTTAAGCTGCACATTGACACATATTTGTTCCCTGTCTTGTTAAATAAATATAGAAACCAAATTAGAGGAAGTCCTGCAGATTTCTGAGAATTTAATTATACCCTTAAATTGCAATACCAATGATATATATGATTAGATTTCTGTACTGAGTAATTACCTGAATTAACTTCATTTTACAATGCTTAATTTATTTTGTACTAAGGAAGACTTTTAACTATTTAAAATAAACCAACCTAATTTTGATTTTTTACTTGCTTCAACGTGTTTCAATTCATTAATGTTTCAATAATAAGGAATGAACTCTCTTGACAAACCAAGCATGGAAATTTCCTCATAAGAGAAAAGAAGAAATTAAAATGATTTCCATATTCAAGTCACAGCACGCTGAAGAGAATTTTGAGTTCTTAGGAAAGGCATCTGTTACCTCCAAAGAAGGGCCACTCATTACAGTTTTGTGGAAATATTACAGTAGGGCCTGCCAAGAAGGAATTCAAGGAAATTGGGAATGGCGACATTGTGATCCCAGGTCATTCTCTTGAGCAGAGGTTTCCTTTCCTTACGTGTTCTGCCCTGCTAAGCTCTTTCTGAAATCAAAGGCCACTGATATGCATAACAATCCATGCTAAAATCCAAACATGACACCAACAGCAAACAATTAACACTGTGATCGCATTGTGGTCCCCAAGATATATCTTGAGATATTTCGGCTATAAGCTATATTCTCCATAAATCAATTTACAGAGGGTTTTTATGATTCTTGCTTTTTATAAAATGAAATACACTTCTATAGTATTAAAATCAGTGAACAAAAGAACTGCAGCACTTACTCCCCTACCCCCAAATGTTTGCTCCTTTGCATTTCACAATTCATATTCATATCTGGACGACAGTTAACCTCCAGTGGCAAAGATAAGAAAATGTGAAAGAAAAATAATACAGATTGTTTCCAGACCTTTCTTGTTTATGGACATTAAAATAACCTCAACACCAATCTATTAAGATGCCGCCTGAAAGCACATGGAAGTGGCTTAGAATCCATGCCGCTGAGAAAGTTAGGAAATTCAAAGTGTAACATTAATTGAATCAGATGAATGACTTCTCCAAGCACTGGAGTCAGGGGGACTTGAATATAATTTGGGGTACTAGGTAAGTGGTTGAAGAACGTGTTCTTTTTGATGAAGAATACTGACACTGTTTCAGACTTTCAGATGCCAAATTATGAAGATCATTAAGAATGTCAAAACACATACCATTCCCAACAGTGAGAACTCTTCATATCCTACCCAATAAGCCACAACAACAAAAAACCCCTGGCATCCATTTACCCCTTTGTACTTCCAAATATCCAAAGAATCACGCAATCACTCAAATAACAAGAGATCCAGGGGTGTTTCAACCATGTGCAAGAAAAATGCTTAAAGGCAAAATTCCTCAAGCACATGTCACAGTGTGGGAACTGAGAGCCATTCCCTCTGTAAATCCTGTTAAAATCCCTTTTACATGAAGGGATGTGAAGGCTGTGAGGAAAACCACAGCTATCTACAACCAGAGGTGCTATTTTCTCTCTTACATCACAGTAATTGTTATATCCCCAAATATAACAAACTCTAAAGTCAAGACTTTTCTTGACAGAGAATCATTCTAAGTACAAGTATTAGCCTTAACCACCAAGCCCAGGTTAGCTAATGAAATAAAAATTTCTCAATACCAGAGTGATACTTCAGGGAAAGATTAGAATAAGACAAAAACAACAACAAAAAAACCCAACAAAACAAACAAATAAAAACTTCTCAATAGAAATTTTCTCTGGCGGCTCCAGCTCAAATATCTCCCCCCTAGTTCTGGAGCAGGCAGTGGCTATTGTTCTAGTACAGCTGTCTTTTTAATTCCAGACTCTTTTCCAGAGAGCTGCTTCTTGGTCTATCCCCTGGGTTCTTTATTACTTGCGCCCTCCCTATATATAAATCATTCTAATTGCTTCTGTTTAAGAAGATTCAATGACACACTGTGGTCCTGTGTTCAATAAACAGCACACCTAGAATACTGTTTGCTCTAAGAGAGAGGCCTACGGTGGGCCATGGAAATGCACATTCTACCCAGTACTCAGGGGGTTTCAACTCTGTGCAGCCCAACCCTATTGCATAAGCAGAGTCAGCTCCATTGAAGCTAGTATTCTGTTGGGCTCCCTCTTCTACAGAATCCCTTGACTGGGTTCTGCTGGGAGTAGGAAAAAAGCCAAGAGGGAAGAAGACAGGACACCAGTAGGCAGGGCCATTTCAAGTAGTGTTGGTTAGGCTGGGATCATGGGACAGGAACAGGTTTTTAGGCAGGGTTTGGAATATCAGAGTAACAGTATCTACCACCACAGTCAAACTTGGTGACCAAGATGGAATTTCCTGATCCAAAATGTTGCCATGAAATATGGCTGCTGCTTTGTGAGCCTTACGGAGTCTCAACAAGTGGGGACAGGAGGTGTGGGGGAGGACAGAATGAGATGGAATAAACTACTAATCCATCTCAAGCATGAACCTATACTATGCCTATTTCTGTATTCTCTTCATTTTGTTGGGCTTTTCTAGGTGATTTTTCTGCTAACTTCAACACTTTAGGGAATATACTTGGTTTTCCTTATTACTTAGGGGAGGTGCTATTTCAAAGGACCACCCCATGTTGAACAGAAAAAAAAGATGTATTGAATGAATAGACCTTGAATATTGTTTCTTTCCTATTTTAGAATGAAATTCGGTTATTGGAAATTTTTAGCAGCTGTCCATCCAAAATAAGTCATTGCTATAATTCACTATGTGACATTTCAGCAAGCCCACTGGAGACAGTGGGTGACATTGTAAAGGGAAGGCTCTGTCTTGAAATTTGAACTGCCTGTGAAGCCTTCCAACTGGGAAACTGGAAACTGGTCACTGAGTTCCCATTAGGTTCTAGTCTGCCCCAAACCAAAATCCTGGAGGTGGGCGCAAGAGCAGGGACTGGGACATGCTTGAGCTACAGGCAACAGCAAGCCTCTCTGATGTCTTCCCTGAAGTTGGGCAGAATCGCCCATCAACTTCAACAATTATAAGGGTAACACCTTCGTGGATGCCATGGCTACCATACTGTAGAACTCGGGAAGAGAGTGGCCCATACACCAAACCCAAGCGTTTTACAAGTTTGAGGGAGTCCGAGGGGATGCATGTGCACATCTGGCCCCAACTGGTGAGCTGGAGGCCATGGCAGCCAGGCTGGAGGAAGCACCAGGGAGCGTTCTATTAGTCCAGTGGTTCTCAAACTCAAGCATGTTTCAGAATCACCCAAAGGTAGTTACTCAGCATGGGGCAGGGCCCAATAACCACATTTCTAGCACATTTCCAGACAGCGAAGCTGGTCCCAGGACCACACGCTAAGAACCACCAGCCTGTTGCTCCACTGCCCTCCTACTCAGGTTGAGGAGCAGGAGGATGGATTGTACCTCTGGAGGTGAGTGGCACTGTCTTCGCATGGTCCATTGTGTGCTCTGCACAGTGATGTGCCAAGAAGGGGCTCATGATCAGTTTCTTTTCATACAGTCCTTGCACAGTCTCCTCCCTGACAAGGGGGATGGCTCTTTGTCATTATACTAATTCTCTGAAGACAGTCATAAAATACAATGATAAAGAGGCAACGCTGTTAGAACAAGCATATAGCCTCCTGGTTTGAAATGCTTTGAAAACAAACCATAGCCATAACACAGATAACACACTTCCTATGTAATCTTTCTAATTAATTCCTCTAAAATCCCGGCATCTATACACGCAGTTCTCTTGTCACAGGTTTGGCCACTATGTCCTCAACTCCAACGGTACAATCCTCTTTGGTGTTAATGGACTCTTTCGTATTTCTTTCTTTTCTTGGTTGGGCTGTTCTGAATTGTAGGTAATCTTTCAGTGTTTGTGGCTGAGCTGGTTTGCTGTGCCTGCCCTGGGTTATTTTTCATAAGATGTCTGGAGGAGAGACTTTCCAAAACATGCAACTCTTCCTTAGACGTGGTTTTTGCCAAATTTTGTTTCAAAAGTAACCCTGGATCTGACAACTCTGAAGCTGGCAAAACCCTGACAGCTTTGCTTTTTTCCACTATTATTTCTCTTGGGACTAATCGATCACTTCCAAGAGAAACTCTCTTGCGGTGGTCGAAGTCTTCCGCAGAGCTGCAGTTCCTGCGTTTCTGTTGGGTTTTGGCCACTCGTGGACTTTGTTTTGGACCTGGTGATGCTGACTCACAGCTACAGACAGGGCTCCCACTTAGAAGCCCTGTCTTTAACCGCTCCCCAGGATGAGGTTTTTGCTGGCCACTAGTGACTTCTGGCTGGGTCTGATTAACTTTTTCCAGCTTTTGAACAGGAAGCCCCCAGTGGCTCTCAGCTGCCTTTATGTAATCCTTTGCTAGTCCCGTAGATTCTGATGCGGGACTGGAGGAAGCCTGACCATCATTCCTCCTCCTTGCTATCTCTGCAATCACTGAGTTACTAGATGTTTCCACAGTGTCTCTTCTGGTCTGTGATTTGCTCGTGATGCTGCTTTTTGTTTCAGTTCTTTTCACACTGAAACAAACAAAAATGATTTTATGGTTTGTGAAGCTGTCACGGCACAGTTTCCTCCAAATTCCCTCCACCACATTTCCTACACCTGGAAAAGGAGGCAGGCACTACCTGCCTTCTTGCCTCCCCAGCAAATCTGGAAACACCCCCCACAACAAGTGTATGTTTAAATGCAGATGGAATCAAGCAAAACTCTTCACATTTTCCATTATACTAGGATATACCTGCTTATCAATCATTGGGTTAAAAATGGATTTATGATGGTGTTCACATTTTAACTAAGGCAAACAGGTATTCCTTTCCGATGTTAAGGGTCAGTACTGCTTATATGCTGATTTTTTTTTTTTTTTTTTCAGGAGTAGACTCAGGTTCTGTGAACACAAATGTACACATACACACAATTTCTACTTGTGAGTAAAGAATAATCTCCTGGAATTTCTCTCAGGCTATTTCAAGATATGACCCAAATACAACCACCACTTAGCTGGTGTCATGTTTGTTGATCAAACTTGATCAACAAATGGGAGTAGGACTTAGTTAATATAATTTGAAATGTCCTGGAAGAAATTCCAGATAGCCAGCATGAAAGGCAATAAAATGCAATCGTGGAAGACAAAAGAGTGTCGATATAGCTGTATATAAGCCCCTTGCTTCTAAGGGCATGGACAACAGACAATGTAACTTCACTCTGATGATAAAACCAACTTTGAGGGGCGGGATAGAAGTTGCACAGGGAGAATTAGAGACTACAGATCTTAACTTCAGCATATATTTACAGGTCTGTGAATGGCAAGAAATTTCCTCAACCACCAAAACATTGAAAGCTGAAATATTTATTTTGGCTAGCTTCAGTGTGAAAACAAATACATATAATACTCATGTTCTTACTGTTGACACCAGGAGCATGAGGATTATTGTAATTATATTAAAGTCGGAACAAGGATCTTAGGAAAGGAATGTATTTTTTAGATCTGTCTGTAGTCCCTCTGAAAGTGGTATGAAACACACCACCAACAGGTGCTTTTCATCTTCAAAGAACGTGTCATTAATTACTCCTTGCAACACACCTGTGAAGCAAGGACTCTATCCCTATTGTCCAGAAAGCAAGAGAGTCAGGAGGGAGGGGAGAGCAAGTACATGATGGAGGGGAGTTTGTGCTTCAGTTCCAGGCACTCTGTTTAATTCTGGACTTCATGTTATCTATCCATACATAGAGGCAGTCACAAATGAGAAAAAGGAAACACATTGCACCTACATTTCTTTCAGAGCATTTCTCCGGAGCTTTGCACTGGGAGGAAGTGAACTCTCTGCACACTCAGCAAAGTAATCAGACACTCCATGGAGAACTCTTTCTGTCTACTCCAAAAGATAACAAAGGTTCAACCAGAAATCTATTAGCTGAACATGAGAGAAAACAGTTACACTCTGAATGCCCCAATGAACACATTTATTTTTGTAAAGACTGAATGAAACTGCTCAGTGGTAAGCTATTTTAACCTTTTTTACCTAGAACTTTATGGTTAATTGTAACTTCTTTTGGACTCTCAGTCTACATTTCAAACATTAATAGGTGCCATAAACATACAAAACTGTAAGGCAAAGAATGCTGATTCCAAACCATCTGGGAAGTCTTGGCCAATATCTGGTAACTGTGAGGCTCAGGTTGTGACAAAAGCCCCAGAATCCTACTGTGTGGGGCAGCATGCCTGTGAGCTCCGTTCTTCCAGCAAGACCTGGTGACACGGTGGTCTACACCCTTACCATCCTAAGAATTCCCCATATTTTCTCTATCTGCAAAAATAAAGAATATTTTGTGGCCGGGCGCGGTGGCTCACGCCTGTTATCCCAGCACTTTGGGAGGCGATCACGAGGTCAGGAGATCGAGACCATCCTGGCTAACATGGTGAAACCCCGTCTCTACTAAAAATACAAAAAAAAAAATTATCCAGGCGTGATGGTGGGCACCTGTACTCCCAGCTACTCAGGAGGCTGAGGCAGGAGAATGGCATGAACCCAGGAGGCGGAGCTTGCAGTGAGCTGAGATGGCGCCACTGAACTCCAGCCTGGGTGACAGGGTGAGACTCCGTCTAAAAAAAAAAAAAAAATATGTTGTAACACCCAAGACCGTAGCAATAGTCAAATATTTTAATATTGGTATTTTGAAAACTGGAGTTTGTGATTCTTGGCTACTAAAAAATTCGGGACTTTTTTCCTTATACTAACCACCACTCTGGTTTTATATAATTCATAGATTATCTGCCTATCTAGCCTTTTGTGTTCCCATGGAAGCATCATAAGGAAGTAATTATAAAATGTAAAAGCCTACCTACCTTGCCAACATTAACCCATTTCATAGTTTTGGAATCTCTTCTCCTTTTGGTTATCGAGTACATAATCCAGACGAGTATTAACTCCTCTCATTTTCTGAGACACTAAGTATTCTTCCCCATCAAATTCCAATAAAGTGTTGCTACCACCAGAAACAGCTTTAGTAAACTGTCATTAGGTCCTTGCTTTAGAACGACACTGGAATTAGCAGTGACAGCCCCAGAGCACCTGGTGGGTGGCAGCCATGAGTACCACGCCTGGTTACCCTACAGGCTGAGGGGATGTGCTTTGCCTAATCACTGCCCTGCACCACTGAGGATGGGCTCTCCATGCTCTTCAGTTGTGCCTATCCATCTCGGACCTGGGCCAGTGTCATTCAAAGTCATATCTGGTTATAACCCAAGTGAGTTTTAAGCTAGTGAACAGAATATTCTATGTTTTATTGGATTATACTTCCTTTTTTTTTGTTTGTTTTCTAAGACTGACTAGTTGGCCAAAATGAGTGACATCTTAAAATTCAAATGAGAGAGAGAGAGAGAGAGGAATCGAGATTTATGTGTGAAACACTTCTAAACATGCCCTATAAGTACAGTAGAATCTCCCCTTACAACCACACCCTGTAAGTGCTGTATTTTCAGAGCTGAACAATTAACATAAGGAGCATGAGTCAGGCTTTGAACAACTCTGTGGGAACCAGAAAGCCTTTCGCTATTAGGAATGATGTAAATTCCCCAAGGCTGGAAGAAATCCACAATGCAAGGCAGACAGGGTCATAAATAACAACAATGAATACTGCATATGCCACATAAAGTATTATGCTGAGATAGTGACACTCTCTTCAAATCTCGTATTAAATTCAATCACTGCCTTTATTTATTTATTTTAAAAATTCAGTTTAAAGAGCACTATGCATTTCCTTTGGGAACTTCAAAAACTCCTTTAAGAAGCAGAGCAGTCGGCTCTCATCCCAAATTCCTCTGACAACAATGAGGGAAAATGTCCTTGGAAGAAACAGGACAACAGAAAAGGTGACAGAGTGACAGGAGGAAATGTCCTGTTCAAAAAGTGTAAAATCTGTGACTTAGTTTTCATAAAAAAAAAAAAAAAAAGAAAGAAAGAAAAAAGAGAAGAAAAGAAAAAGAAAGAGAAAGGCAAGGCGGGGTCTCCTGCTTACAAATTAAAACCACATTTGGCAATTTGTTGAAGGAGGCATATTTACATTTGTATGAAGACTGGGTGGGCAGGAAAAAAAAGATTAGACTCCCTCTTCAGCCCCTGAGCTGTCAGGTCTCATTAGAAATCTCTTACTCTAACATTTCTAGGGTCAATTCACTCCCCTTTGTCTCTAAATCAAAGCCTCCGGTGCCACTCTCCCCTGCCCCCAAACAAGTATTCCTTAGGAAGCAGCTATCACCTGGGAACAGGATTTCCTAAAGGGAGTCGTCCTGATTACTAATGGCTTCTCACATCTGGCATCAAAATGCAATCTGAGGCTTATCCGGAGGCACAACGCCAAGATACAGATATATAATGTGTGCTAAGAGGGGTTGCAAGTGCCTTCTGGGCTTACGGGACGACCCTACTACTTTTCAGATTCTGCCATGAATAATGATCCCATCAGCTCTTGTAAAGAATGAAGATAAACCCAACATACTCAAAGAGGCTACCAAAGAGTTGGCCATCCAAAGTCCAGAATGAGGACATTCTGAGTCCCCATGGACTCAGATATTCCACAAATATCATTCCTTGGTATACTCCTTCCCAGCCATCTGCCTCATCCCCACTCTACCTCCTATTTTGTTTTACTTTTAGGTTACACTTTGAAGAGTTTTGATTCAAAAGTTTCTCTCTATAAAGAATGTCAGTACATAGTTCCAGGGCAAAACCAAACAGAAATAGGGCAAAGCCCTGGCCTCTAGGGAGATACCCTCCTTCAAACAACCTGAGCAGCCTACGCAGGCCACAGGGCAAGGGATCAGGACTTTTCTCCATCTTTGGGGGTATTCTGGAGACCACCACCCCAAGGATGAAGACAGTCAACACTCATGTCCCAGTACAGAACCAAGGGGAAGGCTGAACAGATGAATGTTTGAGTATGATGATGGGTGATATTACCGTATTCCTGTATGGGCTGACCTGGGAAACACATTTTAAATTCCAGGATAGAAAGGACTGCAAAGAGAGTCCCCACCAGGATGAGCTAGGTGACTAAGATATCCTTCTTGCCTCTAATCAAAGAACAGGCTGATTTGAGATGCAGTTAGAAATACTGGGCTGGGTGCAGTGGTTCACGCTAGTAATCCCAGCACTTTGGAAGGCCAAGGTGGGAGGATAGCTTGAGCTCAGGAGTTCAAGCCTAGGCAACATAGTGAGACCTCATCTCTACAAAAAATTAGCCAGGCGTGGTGGTGCGCACTTAGAGTCCCAGCTACTCAGCAGGCTGAGGTGGGACGATCACTTGAGCCCAGGAGGTCAAGGCTGCAGTAAGCCATGACCGTGGCACTGCATTCCAGCCTAGGTGACAGAGTAAGACTTTGTCTTAAAAAAAAAAAAAAAAGAAGGAAAAAGAAAAAAGAAATACTGGGCAATGTTTAAGTCCCAAAAGCACATTGAAACTGTGGATAAACCAAGGAGCCACCCCACAGTGACTCACTGAAAACTGGTTTTGAACAGAACACTGTTGGATTAATGGGAGATAGGGAGAGAAGTTGGCCTAAAATGGCAGAGAAAACACCTGCTCTTGAACTTCCAACCTCCTCATGCAGTCTATAAAGCATAGAAGGGGCTCCCGCAGGCCAGTGGGAAGACTGGCTGCATCAGAGGCATAGAACGAGTCTTTTGAAAATGGAGATTCCCAAGACCCCTCCCTGGAAGCTCTGATTCACGAGATCTGGGGTGGGGCAAGGGCATCTATATTTAGGTTCCAAGGTGATTCAAAAACTGCCGATATACATAACACAACACTCAGCAAGGCAGAGCAACAGATAAATAGAAACTGGTACAATGAGACAGTCTTTGGCAAAGTGTGGTCTGTTTATCCCATGCATCAAAATCATGTGGGGAGTGTGTTAAAAAATGTTCTAAGTTCCACCCCAGAATTTGGATCTCTAGGAAGCAGCGTCAGGGCATGTATATTTTGGGCAAGCTCCTCGGTGATTCTGATACTCAGCAGAATTACTGAACTTCTGCCCTAAGGGCACACAGAATTGATAACTGAGCAGAATCCCCCGGAATAATCCAATCAGGCAATACTGAACTCTGTACCTGGCAATGCTTGAAGCCCTTGAGGGAAAGGACCTTGCTTTCACAGAGCCCCTATCTCAATGGAGAAGACAACAAACAAACAAATAAACATGTGTCAGGTGGTGATGATGTTATGAGGAGAAATAAACATCCAAAGGGCCATGGGGTGCTATTTTAGATATGGCGGTCAGGGAAGGCCGTGGTAGGTAACAAGGTGGGCTTTACACTGAGACCTGAGTGAAGGACAAGCCACAGGAAAGAGCACTTTGGGCAGGGGGAAGAGGGAACACCAAGCTCTGAGGACAGAGTATGCCTGGAAGGTACAGAAACTGGAGAGTAAATCAGGGGAAGAGGTCAGGAAGCTGGAAAGAGGGGTGTGTGTGTGTACTGGTGGTGAAAAGGCAGATCTTGTGTGACTTTTGTAAGGATGGCATGTTTTATTGTGAGGAAGATGATATGCCCATGGAAGCTTCCTAGAAGAAAAGGGGCTTGACATTTTAAAAGGAATACCTTGGGCGTTGTAGAGGTACATGGTTACGAGGAGGAAGACTAGTGATGAGGCCTCGGCAATAATTGATTCATTCAGAGGTGATGGGTCCTGGAGAAGAGCCTGCTTCTTGGGGAGCAGTGGTTAGACTGGAAATATAATTTGATGGGAGACCCAACAAAATGTGCTGATGGACTGGATATAGAGAGTGGGAGAAAGAAAAGTCATTGGTGACTCCACAATCTTTGGTTTAAATAACTGGATGAAGGAAGTTGGCCTTTACCAATGCGGAAAACAT